ATCTGGATGGGAGGGGAGTTTAGGGGAGAATGGATACCTGTATGACTGAGTTCCTTTGCTATTCACTTCAAACTATCACAACACTGTTTGTTAATTGGCTATACTCCAATACAAAGTAAAATTAAAGATAAAGAGGAGTACGTCCCCAGAAGCCTGTGAGGATAAAGCCTAGTCATACAGCGGTTCCCCACCTTGCTGTCAGTTACGGGCCTGGTGGAAGACTCCGGACAGTGGTTGACACTGAATGAGGCTGGTGCTATTGGAGGAGGCTGGGCTGCATGGAGGTGGCGGTGATGCAGGTGAGGTAACACTAACCTGGGAGACTAACCATGAGGACATCACCTGCCTCCTCCCACCTTCTCCCTCCCTGGCCTCTGTGCTGTGGCCAAGCTCTCCAGGGAAAGCACCCATCTGATTTCTAGGGACTCCTTGCTGCTCAGGGGATCATGTGTGGTGGACACTCTGCTGATTGAACTGATGGACTGACTGACTCTGTAAACACCCTGCCAAATGCCCACAGAATGCTCTAGACACTCATGTCTGCTAGATGGTACTTCTGCTCCCAAAGGCTGGGGGTTGAGTCATGTACTTAACAAGAATCAGCTGTGTTTGCTCTCAAACTTGTGAATGCCAGTTGTACATTTTATTGTGATCATAAACTTATTTAAACAAAATGAAAATTGATGAGATTATTGTGAAAGAACTTTGTGAAAACTAAGATGAATACTTGGAAAAGACTAGATGAAGGGTCATGTTGAATTGAGGATAGATGAGACAACTGTTAAAACTTGGGGGAAATTATAAAAAGAAAAAGCTAGAAGTCTAGTGCTCTCTCATTGCTTTGCAAATATCTTTAAGTTCTAGCTCTACTTAAGAAAAAGCAGAAACTGAAAATGATAAATTATGCATTTATGGCAGACTGTGCTGAACTTGCCTCTTACGCGAAGAAAAAGCCTTGGCCCTACATCAAAAGATTGGGGATGAATGTACATTCTACTCTTGCAAATTGAAGTAAAATGTTTACAGGATGTATACATCATGTTTTAATGGCCCCTTGCTTTAAAATCTGTATTTTTAAATTAACCCAACAAGCACTGGTGTTGATCCAGCTGGGTGAGAGGCTTTCTGCCGTTCAGCCTCCTGTTTGGGGCCCTCCAAGCAGCCCCATTCTGGCCTCATTCACTGCACACATCTCCCACTTTCCCTTCCACTCATTTAGCCCCTCACTGAAGATTGACTGAGAATCAGCACCAGCTCTGACTTCTCGTGCTGCCTCTACCTGGAGAGGGGGGAAGCAGGAGAGTATGACAGTGTTCCTGGTCCCTCCTCCTGCGTGGGAGCTGCTTGTCTATGGTGTTGTGGAGTCTTTCCCCACCCAACATCCCACCGCACTTTCAGTGCTTTGGATAGAATTGAGCCCCACCCCAAATTCACACGTTGAAGCCCTATCCCCCAGTGAGATGGTATTTGGAGGTGGGGGGCCTTTGGGAGGTAATTAGGGTTGGTGAGGTCATGAGGCTGGGGCCCTTCTGATAGAATTAGTGGCTTCACAGGAGGAGGAGGGGATGGAGGTTGCTCTCTCTCCACCCTGTGAGGACAGAGAGAAAGTGCCAGCCTGCCGGCCAGGAAGAAGACCCTCCTGTGCCTGGAACTGAATTGGCAGTGACCATGACCTTGGCCTTCCAGCGTCCAGGACTGTGAGAAGTAAATGTCTGTTTCTTGAGCTGCCTAGTCTCTGGTATTTTGTCATGGCAGCCAGGGCAGGCTAACACTCTGAGACCACTAACACCACAGCAGGTCCTGGGAAGGTATGTAGAAGATGGCAACGATCCTGTTGCCACCATTGAGGAAGATGCTGTTCATGATGCCACACCCTCAAACCCCCGAGGATCCCCCTTCCTTCCCAGTCTCAGATTCCAACACACCGTCAACACTCACCATCTCATGAGACCACAGACCCACTGGGAGATCTGCAGATGTACAATCAGGGAGTTGATATGTCTCACCTGAGGTCACACTATTTTTAAAGACAGACCTGTGACTATAACCAAAGTCTATGACACATTCTGATAAGCTGAGTGGTCTCCTAAATGAAACTTGAAATTCATGACTCTCTGCCGTGAAATGCATGATGAATGATGTTTCTATGCATGATACCATCTGACTCTGATAGCATATAAAGCATTTAACTATTTGACCTCCCAGAACAGAGATTTCTAGTTGTATACCCTAATCCTCTCCTGCCTTCCTCCTTAGTTACAGAACTCCCAGCCTCTCCTGCAGGGAGATGTGGCCATATGACTAAGTTCTGGCCATCAACACATGAGCAGAAGTGTTCAGGACATCTTGGAAAAGTCTGTAAAGGGGGTTGATCTGACTAGAATGTGCACCCTCTCTGTCGGGGACCCCTGATTTGCACGCCCCTGTTTCTTCCCGCTGCCTGGAGTGTGGATGGAAGCAGGAGGCCCCAGAAGCTGTCTGGACCATATGGCACTGTGAACCTGGAAGTCAGAGCTGAGAGAAGGCAGAAGCATACAGAACAGGCCTGGGCTCATGACCATGGAGCCGCTGCACTGAGAAAGTGGGAACGTTCAGGTGGGGGGCAGGGGTCATCCCTCATGCAGGTGCATGACCTAGATCTTAGCCCTGTGATGAGAGGAGTGGCAGGGAACACTTAAGGGATCATTTCTATAGTTGCCTTGGTGATGGTACCTCAAGAAGCCTGGTGTGGGGCCTGGGGAACTGGAGTGAGGTATTATTCACTCACCTTAGTTCTCTTTAGAAGCTAGGCTCCAGTTTGGGGAGAAGGTGGTGCCCCAGGCTCTCCCAGCTTTGGAAGCCCAGGCCCAGACCCCCCACCCTCTCAGGGGTTGCACGGAGTTCCCAAGGAAGGAACAGTGAGATGGTTCAGCCTCACACAGCCTGGTGGGCAGTAACAATAGCCACAAAGCTCAAGACAAAGATGCTGTGAGGTAGCCCTTGACTGCATGTGATGGCCAGACAACACAGGGACTTCTGAGAGTGTCCTGAGCTGAGCAGTCAGGACATCAAACTGGTAAGATTTGAGCTGTGACCTCGCTGTACTCACAGGCTGTGGGGCTTAGGGACAGATGACTCATGATGATGGCAGAGTGGCCTGGATCCCTCAGCCAGGAAAGGCTGCCTTTTATTTCACCTTCAGCCTGGCTCACCTGTCATTGCCGAATCCATCCCCTCCACAGGAGTCTTCCTTCACTTCAAGGATGCAGTCTCCTGGAGAGCGAGGATCAGAGGTCTTTTCAGGCTGGAAGGAGACCGAGCAGATATGGAAAGAGGAACCCAGGGTCACACTGTGATGGGGAGCAAGTTTAACTCCAGTTACATGGAGTTTCTGTGTTAGAACAAGACCCTGGCTGGCTGAATCCATGAGATAACAAGAACATTTCCCCCTGAGCTTTCACTCAACTCTCAAAATCATTTGTGATGTTTTCCAGGTGAATTGCTTTCTGCATTCAGTCAATTTATTTTAGTTTGTGGTTGTGTTTGATAGGCTGGTGTGCTGGAAAAATCACTCCAGACATCCAGAATCCAATCAAAACAGACGTGCAGAGAAACACATGTTTAGGGCTGAAATGAAACTGGAAAATCAGCCAACCCCACTCCTCATTTTATAAATCAGTGGAAGTGATTCCTGGAGCTCACACAGCTAATGAAGGTGAACTCCAGAGCAGACCTTAGTTAACCCTAACTCATACACAGCGCTTCAAACACTTTGCTTCTTGGGTTTTTTTGGGGGGTGGGGTTTTGTTTTTTGTTTGACTATGCCTCGAGGCATAGGGGATCTTAGCTCCCCAACCAGGCCAGGGATCAAACCAGTGCTCCCTGCAGTGGAAGTGTGGAGTCCTAGCTACTGGGCTGCCAGGGAAGTCCCCTCCAGATATACTATGTAAGAGCAACTCAGGTTCTTCGTGTGTGTGTGTGTGTATGTGTGTGTGTGTGTGTGTGTGTGTGTTCATTTTTCTTGGAAAGAATTTACAGAGTGTTTCCTGAGGCATTTGGAGTCAAGTTGGACAGAACTACAAATGTCGAAGCAGCTTTCCCTACACAAGATCAAGGTCACTCATGAAGTCTGTTGCTTGACCCTCTTTCACATCATAGGAGTTAGGTATTTGGATTGTGTTGAACTGAGTATCCTTCCTCTCCCCCCCTCCCCTTCTCCAGCTTCCTCCTCCTCCTCCACCCCCCTCTCTCCTTCTGCCTGATCCTTCCTGCGTCACAGTCTGATTTTCTCCGATCCTGGCTCTTGTGCTGATCAGCATATTTCCCTCATTTGCTTCTTCCTTCCTCTCTTCCCACCCCCTCTGTGCTTTTAGTTTCCAAATTGTGGGCCTATCTAAATTAATGAACTCATTTGTTTTCTGTATACCAAATGCACAGCAAAATGACTGTACTTCTAAACAGGCCGATAGTACCATGTAGACGCATTCTGAGCCTCCCTGGAGCTATGAAAGCACCATGTTAAGCTCATGAGAACAACATGGGGAAATGAGGGAGCCCCTGACAAGACAGAAGGCTTTCTTGATCAATGCTTGCCTGGTCCCTCTGTTTCCCATATTGAGTGTGTCTCTACGAAGACGTCAGTGACAAGGATCCATCGTGCGATCAGTATTCCAAGAGGCTGCAGATACAAAATCCTAGACACATAATTTTGTGGGCAGAGCAGGTGTTCTGCCTTGAGCTGTAACATAACCAGTGAGCAATAGTTCATGAAATGACCTTTTTTTCAGTTTATTAAAGGGCAAGCATTTCCTGAAAATTCTTATATTTCACTGAGCTCTAAATCAAGACTGAATCTACCAGGGTCTTTTCACCATCTCTTGCTCTGACATTGACTTTCATGGACCCAGGCACTAAACCCATTATTCCTTCCTTTCACTCAGGAAGCCCTGTGTCAAAAGTATTTCCTAATGGGGACCGTGTGCTGTGGGCTGCAATTTCAGCGTCTGTCTCTCTGATGTGGCAGGGGGTCAAGCAGGGTGCTGAGTCTCTCTGTGTTCCAAGGCCACAGACAACAACCTTTTTGCTGATGAAAGAGAGGGACAGTCAAGTGATTCTGGGAGATCAGCTCCAACTACCCCCGCATGAACCAATAAGCCCCCTGGCCCTGGTCAGTAGGAGGATCTTAGGATATGCTTTTATTCCTGAGTTGACTTGGTTCTCTGGGTCATGCCTTGACCCCTTCAGGGTGCAGTTTATAACCAGTGCCAATCTGCCTGGAGCTATGAGCAAGCCCAGGTGAACTGTATGTGCCAGGACCAACCTCAGCACTGGCCTTGCCCTCCGCCACCTTGTCTTGCTCTTCTCCTCTGCACGTGGCAGGAACACCTCCTTCTAGCACTGGGTGAGCAGGCATGCTCTGGGGGTCTGTCAGGACTTCATGGGGCACTCTAGGGTGGCTCCAGGAGGCAGGAGTGAAAATATCCCAGGGGCTGCTCTGCCCAAAGGTCCCTGGAAAAGTAAATTGGTAAACAGTAAGCATAAGATGGGAGGTCACCTGTCTTCTCTTAACTCGTGCTAGGTCCACTTAATCAAATTCAGTTCTGGTCCTGTAGTTTCATAAGAAACAATTCCAGGAAAATTGGCCCTGGAGGTTCCAGTCCAGAAACACCTCCTACAGAATTTCGTATCATATTGGGGCACAAGCGACTCAGTATGTACTAAGAACCTGCACAACAAATCCAAAACAGTTCTGGTAACTTCTTCAAGAAACATCAGCTAGGGAGACAAGAGAGCCTGCTGAAACAGGTAGAGTGCCTTTGAGCAGTAACTTGAGTTAATCTTATCACCACAGCCCACTCAGGCCAGACCTTTCCCATCTCACAGGTCCCTAGTCCTGAATCTTTCCTGTAAAACATCATAACATGTTTCTGTACCAAATTCACTGCCACCAGTCTATCAGAGTTCTCTAAATTTAAATGTATCTAATTTTGATACATTTTGTGAAAGTAAACTGATTTTAAGGTATACACTGAATTTGGTACCCTTCCCCCCAATTCTTATGTTGAAGCCCTAAACCCTAGTGTGACTGTATTAAAACGTAAGTCTTTTAAAGGAATAATTGTGGTGCTGGAGAAGAGTCTTGAGAGTCCCTTGGACTTCAAGGAAATCAAACCAGTAAATCCTAAAGGAAATCAACCCTGAATATTCATTGGAAGGACAGATGCTGAAGCTGAAACTCCAATACTCTGTCCACCTGATGTGGAGAGCTGACTCATTGGAAAAGACCCTGATGTTGGGAAAGACTGAAGGCAAGAAGACAAGGGGGTGGCAGAAGATGAGACGGTTAGATAGCATCACTGACTCAATGGACATGAATCTGAGCAAACTCGCGGAGATGGTGGAGGACAGAGGGGCCTGGCGTGCTGCAGTCCATGGGGCCATAAAGAGTCAGAAACGACTTAGCGACTGAACAACAGCAAAGGTTAAATGAGGTTCTAAGAGTAGGACCCTGATCCAATAGGAACAGTGTTCTTATAAGGAGAGACACCAAAGTGTTCACATTTTCTCTCTCTCTCTTCCTCTCTCTCCAGGCCATAAAGTGAAAGTGAAAGTCACTCAGTCATGTCCAACTCTTTATGACCCCATGGACTCTACAGTCCATGGAATTCTTTAGGCCAGAATACTGGACTGGGGAGCCTTTCCCTTCCCCAGGGGATCTTCCAAACCCAAGGATCGCACCCAGGTCTCCTGCATTGCAGGCAGATTCTTTACCAGCTGAGCCACCAGGGAAGCCCAAGAATATTGGAGTGGGTAGCTTATCCCTTCTCCAGCAGATCTTCCCAACTGGGAAATCGAACCGGTGTCTCGTGCATTGCAGGTGGATTCTTTATCAACTGAGCTATCAGGGAAGCCCCTGGGCCATAAAAAGACTCAGCAAAAGTTGTCCATAAAAGGAGCCCATCTGCAAACCAGGAAAAGCCCCCTAAGCAGCACCTGACCATGCTGGGACCCTGATCTCAGACTTCCAGTCTCCAGGATAGCACACACGTGACAAACAAAATTCTGTGGCTGAAACTGCCCAGTCTATGGTAGGTAGTTCATCATGTCAGCCTAATCTGACTCACACCCTAGACCTCAGAGGATTCATGACCCGATGGAGGCTTCAACTGAGGCCCCAAACTGGGACTGAACTGGTGGCCAGGTGGACGGTCCTTACCGATGAAAGCCCCATCCCTGCTCCACAGGTGCACGGTGCGGTCCAGGGAGGACGAGAGCAGAATCTCTTCTATCAGCTCCAAACTAGTGAGATCAAAGGGCAAGGGAGATGTGCTGAGGCTTCCCCAGCAAGAAAGGGGCATTGGCTCAATGCATCAATACCCCTTTAAATACAGCTGGAATATAGAAGCCAGGTTCCTCCCCTGGCTTATTCTCGGTACCATCCCCTCCTTGCCTCCTACTATGCCATACCCCCTTCAGATTCCCCAACTCCAGTCCCAAGATGGCAGACAAGATATATTAGAAACATCTTATGGACTGTGGGAACTGATGGGTCTATGGGAACATCAAGAGGCTGGAAAGAAACTTCTGACCAGGGTCCAGGCCCCATACCAGCACTGACTCCTTTTAACTCCAGTGAAAAAAATCTTAAACATATTAAGCATCTACACTTACACCAAAATAGCAGATCAATTCAAGAAAAACAATCATCATTTATAAGAAAAATGACTTCAGATCTCTTCCTATTTACTCTGTGTACGGAACATAAACATCCAGTTCTCACAGCAGCAGCAGAATTATAACACTGCTCTCGTCTTCTGATTAATTCAGAAGGCTTCTGAGAGAATCCATTTACTCAAAGCTGTGAAAAGTATTTTGACTCTTTTATACATTCTTAAACTCTAAAGCGGATGGTACTCACGTCACCATGCTGACATGGGTCCTCCAGAATGTCACATCTAAATCAGAGGAAAGAGCACATCTGAGTGCGGTGGGAGACGTACACCCTGATGCTAGATGCTGGGTAACAGTCACTCCAGGGTGGGGTCGGGGCTGGATGAGAGCCCAGCAGGGAGAGAGGTACTGGTGTGACAAGGCGTTGGTCTTGCTACATTAACCTGATACCAGTTTACCAAGCATCTACTATGTGCAAGACCCTATGCCAGCTCCAAAGGTATACAAAATGGGGCCTGTTCAAGGTCCTCACCCTATAGTCTCCTTTAGCACTTAGGGTTTGGTAAGCATGCAGGAGTGGGAAAGTAATCAAAAGTAATTTTTAATACAGCCTGGTGAAAGCTACATTCCCAGTACTCGGAGTAAAGACCAATGCAAAGCCGATCACTCTTAACTTCTAAATTCCAATTTCTCACACTTTAGCATTTAAACTTCCCCTGTGGTGGAACAGGAAAAAAGTGAATAAGGGGAGGTAGGTGAATATTTGCCTCTAAATTAGCTTTATAGAAATATATTTAATGAAATATTATATAGCCATTCAAATATGCTAAAAAAAAAAAAAAACCTAGATATGCTTATATGTAAAGCTGGCTAAGATACAAAGGAAAAAATGAGTCCTGAAAGTGATGTATTGTGGGTGTGTGTGTATGTGCTCCTGTATATATATATATATATGCATAGAAACTTTCTGGGAGGAAATTGAAATGCATTAACAGTGTTGCTAGGATGCAGAAAACTCAGGCTGGGTGAGGGAGGAGGTCAGAGGAAAACTACTGCTTTTCGTTTTATATTCTATCATGCTGCTTGATTTTTTTCCTAAACATGAGCATTTCTACAACTTTATGAAAGGCTTTTAACACTTTAAACACATTCTGTTATTACCAAAGCATTATATCTCCAGAAAAATTAGAAAAGACAGATTTTTAAAAAGAAGAAAATAAAAGCACAACTAAAACCTCAATGTGGGCTTCCCTTGTGGTTCAGCTGGTAAAGAATCCGGCTGCAGTGCGGGAGACCTGGGTACAATCTCTGGGATGGGGAGATTCCCTGGAGAAGGGAAAGGCTACCCACTCCAGTATTCCTGCCTGGAGAATTCTGTGGACTGTATAGTCCATGGGGTCACAGAGAGTCAGACACGACTGAGTAATTTTCACTTTTCAAAACCTCGCGTACAAAGGATAAGGATTTGTTACATCCTTGATGTATATTTTTCCAGACTTTCAATCTTCCATGTATGTCTTCATTTTAACAAGGGTTACATTAATGTTTTGTGACCTAATTTTTCACTGAAAAATTTTATCATGAACAATCTCCCTATAAATACATTTTCATATATGGCATCCTTACACGATAACTCAATGATATTTTAATATGTTATATTTTATACCATCCCATATTTAATTATTCCCCTTACACTGGACAGTTTGTTTTCTCTATTATTTTCTTCTGCCTCTCTTATAAACAATATGCTGATTCACACAGCCTTATAACTAAGTCTTTGTTTATGCTTCTTACTCTTTTTTTTGGCCAAATCCTTAGAAGTAGAATTGCTGGTTCAACGTTTTAATGCACATTGTCAACTTGCCCTTCATGCCCTTCAGACAGTATACACCAACTCACCCTCCATCCAAGAGCATGAGTGCCATTTTCCTCTCACCTTGTCAATATTGAGTACTTTCATGAAAATATTTTTCTCTAGAAAAATATTGAATTTTATTTAATCTAATATTTAACTAAAACTGAAGCTATGCTCATCATAGCATCTCACGTGGAGAGCTCATGCCTACTCGTGGGAAGCTGTAGTTCCTGTCCCTGCAAGCCATACTCCTCGATGTCATAGACATGCACAAAGCTGCGCTGGTCAGCCACGTAGGCACAGGCATCTCCCGCTGTCACCACCATGCTGCTGACCCGGGCTTTGTCCCTGGACTGAAGACACGTACACACAGGGATCATTATACACACACACACACACACACACACACACACACAGGGTCCATCACAGACAGACACACAGACACACATAGGGTCCATCACACATACACAGAGTCTGTCACACATACACACACACACACACAGTGTCCATCACAGACAGACACACACACACACACAGGGTCCATCACAGACAGACAGACACACACACACACAAGGTCCATCACACACATACAGACACACAGACACACACAGGGTCCATCACAGACACACACAGACACACACAGGGTCCATCATAGACAGACAGACATGCACACACAAGGTCCATCACACACATACAGACAGACAGACACACAGGGTCCATCACAGACAGACAGACAGACACACACAGGGTCTATCACAGACAGACAGACACACACACACAGGGTCCATTACAGACAGACACACACACACGCACAAGGTCCATCACACACATACAGACACACAGACACACACAGGGTCCATCACACACACACACAGACACACACACACAGGGTCCATCACAGACACACACAGACACACACAGGGTCCATCATAGACAGACAGACACGCACACACAGGGTCCATCACACACATACAGACAGACAGACACACAGGGTCCATCACAGACAGACAGACAGACACACAGGGTCCATCACAGACAGACAGATAGACACACAGGGTCCATCACAGACAGACACACAGACACACAGGGTCCATCACACACATACAGACACATAGACACACACAGGGTCTATCACAGAGAAACATACACACAGGGTCCATCACACACATATGGACACACAGACACATACACAAGGTCCAATACAGACAGACACACACACACAGTGCCCATCAGCGGTAAAGCTTACCTGTCAGACAATAGCAAGTGAAACGCATTGTCCTTATTGAGAGAGACACTAGTTTTTTGACACAGGTGAGTGTCAAAAAACAAACCAACCCAAACATGAGATATGGGACTTATTTCCAACCCGCTACCCAACTTACAGGAGCAAAGTTGGCAACGGGACGGGCTCCACTGAACAGCCTCCAGAAGGTGACAGAACCTGGGAGGAGGGAAGCAGAAGGGAGGGCACTTGGGTGTTGGTGCTTCGCAGTTCTGGAGCTCCCAGGTGGAGTCTGAGAGTCTCTGTTGAGAGGCACTGCAGTCTCAGGACTCCAGGGTGGCACCTGGGTTGCTTGGCTTAATCTGACCAGCTATGGAGGGGAGGTATGAAAGTTTGTGCTATGGCGACAATTAATGTGTGTGCATATGTGTGCACGCAGGCACTTGTGTGTATAGGCATGTCTTTCAAACACACTGTGAGACTTGCTTGGTCGAAGGAATTCTCTGGGACCTCTTCTGGCCTGTCAGTCACAATTCTTGAGTGCTTTGCCGGTGGGTGTGAAGTGGCAACCCCATGCATACCTCTTGGCCTCAGGAGCTCCCTAAATCACAGACTGTGGGATCCTCCTCTTCTCTCAGGGGAGGGGGGCCTGTGCTGCTGACAGGTAAAGCAGAAGTGAGGGATGCCCAGGGTGGAGGGCGCCTGGTGCCAACAGGCCAGAAGCTCCGGGGCTGGGCCAAGGTCGGGCGTCAGGAGGAGGCGGTCCCCTGGAGAGCAGTAGCAGAGCGGGGAGGCAGTCTCCTCCTCTAGTGAGGAGACTACAAACAACCGCACGCCCTGGGACTTGGGCTCTTGCAATCAGAATAGCACAGGTGGCTGCTTCTAACTCACTGTTTAAAATAAAATCCCTGTGCTTTGGAGCAGGACACTGGCCCACTCCTTACAGTTTACTGAAGCCAGAGGTCCTGCCATCTATGTGACATCGCCAAGCTAGTTAGTGGTGGAGGCGGCCTCAGGAAACGTCCTCTGCCCCAGGAGGCCCCAGCCTCCGGGATCTAATGCCTGATGATCTGAGATGGAGCTGATGTAACAATAATAGAAATAAACTGCCCAATAAATCATCCCGAAACCATCTCCTACCTTCCGGTCTGTGGAAAAATTGTCTTCCACAAAACCAGTCCCTAGTGCCAAAACAGGATGGGTATGACTGCACCCCTGCAGGCCGACCCCCGTTACACGGCTCTCAGCTCTTCTGTCAGGCCTCCCGGGGGTGCTGTGGCAGTTTGCCCCTCCCTGGCTAAATAAACATGTGATGTTTATTTAACCTCACTACACGACATCCTGTGAGCCCTATGTCCCTGCAGGAATCACCCGGGGCCTCTGGGGAGGCAGCAGGCAGGGAGACTCAACTGGGAGGAAGCTGCCCTTCCCCAGCTGGCAGGCTGGGCTGAGTCAGCCAGGGAGTGTCTGGGGAGTCCGAGTGCCTGGGGCTCCTTCCTGTTGGAAACTGGGCCTGCGGTGGCCGCTTCTTAGACACGAGCCAACGGCCAGTGTGGGCTCCATCCTCACCTCGAGGCCCGTTGGCCATCAGGGAAGCGGAGGCTGATTCCAAGTTGGCTGCCCGGGTCTTGAGACACTTCTGTCTGGGCCTGGAGACAAGGAGAGGGTTTTGGCTGTGCTCCCCACGCAGCTCCCAGCTCTCCCCTCGTCCTCTCCGGTGGTTGCCCCGGGCCCCAGAGTCTCAGAGCTGCCCCTGGACCTGGGTGGAAGCGGTCGAGGCGTACACAGGAGCACAGGTGGCCTCGCTGGTTGAGGAGCAGCCCAGCCTGGCTGGGGGGTAAAGTCAGATGTGAAGGTAATCCAGGGCACCCCTGCATTGTCCCAGGACCCTAGGGCTTTTGCAGAGAGTCAGGGGTGGGGAACTTGGTTAGGGCTTGAGGGAGGGGCTGAGAGAGATGGTAGGGCAGTTGGGGGCTTTGCCTGGAACTCTATGGGTATGTCCCAGGAAGTCCCCACTCTCTAGAATTCCTGGATGGGAATTAGTTGCTGTTCAGTCACTCAGTCATGTCCGACTCTTTGAGACCCCCATGGACTGCATCACACCAGGCTCCTCTGTCCTCCACTGTCTCCCAGGGTGTTGGAATAACTTCTAAAGCCACCTCCCTACTTCCTTACCATCCACTCCTCCTGCTGGGCTTGAAGCACCATCAACACAGGGCTTACATTTGTCTTTTCCCCCACTTATCTCCAATCTCTCCAAGAGCTTAGCACATAGAACTCAAAGTTTGCTCTTGCATAAAAATCCTGCAGACCTACTTAGATGCAAACCTTCAAGAGCCACAAAGGACATAGCTGTTTGGGTGTGAGGAGATAGGAAAGGAGCTTCTTCGTCTCGCCCTCCTTGAGTCTGTGGGCTCCAGGGTGACTTGCCTCGACTGGAGGTGAAAGGAAAGTTCTCATGTTAACAATGGGGTAGGTGCTGGAGTGAAATAAAGAGGTGCTGCTCCCTTGTGTCAGTGCTATGGGGACACCCACGACCCAGGCTAGTCATTGTTCAACAGCGTTTGTTTGGGCCTGACTCTGAGCTCGGCGTTGTGTTGTGCACTTGGGAAGCCACAGCGGACGTGGCAGACTCAGGCCCCGCCCTCAGGTGGACCACGATCACAAGTTGGATTACCCACCTAGAGCACATTCTGTGCTGGACCTGGAGCTAAGCCCCTCTCAACGCCACCGTATTCAGCGATCACAACAGTCTTAGACTTTATCTCTTGATTTTATCAAGCAGTGAGAGTAGAGTTTAGAAAGAACCGCATTGCCTGAGGTCATACAGCTGAGGGGCTGACAGTCAAACCCAGGTGTGTTTGTATCCAAAGCCCATGCCCTTGCTATCGGGCTCTGTGCTTGTCCTCAGGGGGCTGAGGGCTGTCCTTGAGGGACTGAGGGGGTCCCGGGGGGCGAAGGTTCTCAGAGGCAGATGGAGGGCCACCTGCACGGCGTCCTCCCTGGTGCCTGGGACACACAGGCAGTGACTGGGCTAAGGGTCACCTTGCTCTCCGGTTATCCGGCTCTTGGGGAGTTGACATACGGGGTGGCGGGGGGGGGGGTGGGGGGAAATGATGAGTAGGGGGAGGGGCAGCAAGGATAAGCCCCCCAACTTGCTCACTTTGTCTTGGGTGGGGGGCTGCAGAGTCCTGGGAAATGGGCACATGTACTGCCTCCCCACTTACCCATGTGTGGTCTCGGGGAGCGTTGCACTTCCCTAAACCTGTTTTCTTCACCTGTGATAAGGAGACAATACTTCCTGTTTCACAGAGTTTCAGTGAAGATTAAATTAGAGATTCTATGGGAATCATGCTCCATGGCTTTGCAGTGGAGGCTGATTGGAGATACTGAACCTAAGGTACTCAGAGCACAGGGACCCTCAGCAAATGGTAACCGTTATAATGGCTGTTAGTTAAGTCTCTAGCCTCAGTTTCCTCATCTGTGAAAATGGGTCCAAGAGCACCTATCTCTCTGGGTCAATGTGAGCACTAAGTGAGATAAAACATTAAAAGCACTCAGGACAATTACATATAAAAATCAAATATGTTGTTTATATAATCATAAACATATTGTTATTATGTTCATTATAATTCTATTATTAAACACTATTTAAATATTATTTTATTAAAAGTTATATTAAATGTTGTTTTGTTATAATAAATATTATTACTTACAAATGAAGTAAATATTATCAGTTTCCCTAAGCAAAAAACCTTAGTCTCTTAGAACCAATAAATGAATTCCTCAAAGAAGCAAGATACAAAGTCAACACACAAAAAATCAGTTGCATTTGTATACATGACCAAGGAATAATCTGAAAAGTAAATAAAGAAAAAAATTCTATTTTCAATAGCATTAAGAGTAACACACTTAGGAATTTACCTAGGAGGTGAAATATTGTATAATGAAAACTACAAGACACTGTTGAAAGAAATTAAGACATAAATAAATGGAGACACATCCCATGTTCATAAATTGGAGGAAAATATTGTTAAAATGAGAGTACTACACCAAATGATCTACAGAGTCAGTGCAATTTCTATCAAAATCCCAAAGACATTTTTGGCAGAAATAGAAAAACTCATTTTAAAATTCACATGGAATTTCAAGAGACCTCCAAATAGCCAAAACAATCTTGAAAAAGAAGAATAAAACTGGGGGGACTCATAATTCCTGATTTCAAAACTGACTGTACAAAAAGTACAGTCATCAAAGCAGTGTGGTACTGGTATAAAAACAGATGGGTAGAAAAATGGAATGGAATAGAGAGCCCAAAAATAAACCCCATGTTTTTGGTCAAATGATTTTTGACAAGGGTGTCAAGACCCTTTTCAGTGGGAAAAGGACAGTCTTTCTGCTAATGGTGCCAAGAAAACTGGATATCCACCTGCAAAATAGTAAGTCTGGACCCTTATCTAATGCCATGTATGAAAATTAACTCAAAATGGATGAAGAACCATAAATGGAAGACCTACAATGAGATAATCCTTAGAAGAAAATATAGGAGAAAAGCCTCATGACATTGGATATGGAAATGATTTTTTGGATATGACACCAAAAAAAAAAAAAATAGGTAACAAAAGAAAAATATAGACAGATTGGACTTCACAAAAACTGACCTTTTTGTGCACCAAAAGACAGCATCTGTAGAGTAAAAAGACAGCCTACAGAATGGGAGAGAATCCCTGCAGATCATTTATCTGGTAATGAACTAATATCCAGAGTATAGAGAAGACTTCTAAGAAGCAACAACAAGAAAATCAGATTCTAAAGTGGGTAAGGGGGGTGGGTTTCCCTGGTGGTCTGGTGATTAAGAATCTGCCTTGCAATGCAGGGGACGTGGGTTCAAGCCCAGGTTGGGGAACAAAGATCCCACATGCCTTGGAGCAACTAAGCCTGCACATGCCGTAACTACTGAAGTCTGTGCACTCTGGAGCCCGTGTGCCATGACTAGAGAGTCTGTGTGCCACAGTGAAAGATCATGCATGATGAAGCTAAGACCCAATGCAGCCAAATAAATAAATTAAANTAGTGTATTTTAATTCATATATTCATTATAAAATTAAAATCACACTAGAAACACAATTTCTTGTTTAACAACATGCATTTTCTTGATGTACAACTTTTAATATTCTATTTCTATGTTATTTTAATCAGCTATATAATAATCTCTGTAATACTCCAAGTATATATCTATTATGCTATATATATATTTAGCTGTCCGGCTTGCAGGATTGTAGTTCCCCAATTCCTGGGATGTTGGCAGTGAAAGGACAGAGTCCCAACCATTGGACTGGGAAGTTATAGTATGGGATAATCCCCATATTATGTATTTGCGTGGCTGTGTGCTTGGTCACTTCAGTTGTGTCCAACTCTTTGCGACCCCATGGACTGTAGCCTGCCAGGCTCATCTATTCATGGGATTCTCCAGGCAAGAATACTGGAGTGGGTTGCCATGCCCTCCTCCAGGGGATCTTCCTGACCCAGGGATCAAACCCATGTCTCTTACATCTCCCACATTGGCAGGTGGGTTCTTTACCACTAACACCACTTGGGAAGCCCATACGCATTCTACCACAAAAAGAAAAAAAGAAGAAGAAGAAAAAGCCTTCCAGAGAGCTCACAAATTTCCTGGATTTTAGCCTTGTTGAAATCTCTTGGTCTCTCTCTTTCACTCGCAAATTCTTTCTCTTTGATGTGGGAGAACACATAACAATTCTCAATATGCATAAGGGAGAAGGAAGCTAAAATGTAGAAAAGTTGGCAGAAAGAATGTGTTTTCAGCTCATCAGCTTTGCTCACACAATTGCCTTTCTCTCTTAGCTCCCCTTTCCACTGAGAATGACTTCAGAAAAATTGTCCAGATGGTTTTCCAAATAAGACGGCAGCCTCTTAACCAATCCCATGTGAAAAGGACCACCCTGCTCTGTTTTGACCTTCAGGCTGAGCCAGTGCCGCTATTTTCTGGAAGGCCGCAGGAACTTTCACATCTTTCCACCTAATTTGTGCATTTTTTTTTTTTCACCGTTGAAACGTGAATAATCAGGAACTAGGGCTGGCTTTTGCATTTTTGGAGAGAAGAGGAGTTTTTCAAAAACCAATGGCCACATAACTTGAAGCAATAAATGCTGCTGCAAAGAGGGTTTTAAATTAGAACTGCTGGCTGAAAGGTCAACACTGCATTCTTGGCCAGTGACTTAATTCTCAATTTAATGCAATGAAAATAAACCTTTAGAAGGAAATGCCACCACTTTTTCCCCAAAGATTTTTTAAACTCTTAGGCATTCTCAGAAACAGCTTCACAGAAGGGTCTTTTTTTATATGCAGCAAAGGGGCTAGAAATAGACAGGATCATAAATCTACAGGTAAGAATTTCTTTTTAATCTCATGGCATCCAAAGGTTTCAGTTTCTAACCACTGCCCTCCGGAGCGTCTCTCAAGCACAGCAGGCAGACTGCATTGCTTTATCCTCATTTTACCTGTTGAGCATCACATCTTGTGCCTGAATTTAGACTGTGAGTCCATTGGTGTGTATAGCACCAGGTCTCACATCTCTCTCTAGCCTCTGGTACACATCGCCCATGGGCTCCCATGTGAGCCGTGGGAGCGGCTCACACATATTTTCTGATCCAAGGAGTCACTGGAGATTGTCCTTGGCTACTAGGTCATCACATGTCTGAAGCAGGGATCATAGTGTGAGGCTCATGGCTCTCTAAGGGTGGGCTGGTTTGGCTTCTGGAGATGTAGGAACTCCCCAGTTTTATGCAAAAATGCCCAGCACTTCTGTCTGTGTCTCCCCTGCTGGGGCCCAGGGGTGTGAGGAGTGGGACCTCTGGCTGTTGGCTGATGAGCATCTGCAGATGGCCACTTGGGAAGGATGAAGCTGGACTCTGGACATGGGGAGAGAGCAGTGGTAAGAAGCTGCCTGTGTGGTTCTGGGTTCCTGCCACTTTTATGGTCCAGCACCACCAGCAATGGAACTGATAGATAAGTGGACCTCCCCACATGTGTTTTCCAAATGACTCAGATCTCCTGGGGAGAGAGGGATGCGATTACCAGCCCAAGACCTAGCACTGGGCCTGGCACATAGCAGGAACTTGTCTGTATTCTTTGAATGAATAAGTGAGTGAACGGACCCATGATCACATTAGCAGACAACAGAGAAAGAGCCTTGAAGAACGAAGACCAGTGCAAAAGAATTGGGAAGAGCGCAGTAGGATGGTGGGGAGTTTTGTAGCATAAAAGTAATGGGGCTTTCCAGGTGGCGCTAGTGGTAAAGAACCCACCTGCCAATGCAGGAGACGTAAGAGGTACTGGTTTGATCCCTGGGTTGGGAAGATCCTCTGGAGGAGGGCATGGCAACCCACTCCAGTATTCTTGCCTGGAGAATCCCATGGACAGAGGTGATTCATGGGCTACCGTCCATGGGGTTGCAAAGAGTCGGACATGACTGAGGCACATAATTGACTTACAATGTTATGTTAGTTTCAGGTGTGTGTGAGACGGGCTCTGATGGACAGGTGCCTGGGGACGTGTACTGAGCTAGCTGAACTCTCATGCCACCCCCACCCCTCCTGCCCTCCCCAGCTCTGAAAATCTCCATCTCACAAGTTAAGACCTGAAACCAGGCCACTCCCTTATAACTGGGAAGCATTCCAGAGGTGAGCTCCCTTTAGACAACTTGCCAGGAGCCTGAGCCTGCCGGGCCCATGCAGAGTGGCCATGGAGGCCACCCCTACCTTCTCTATTTTCTGTGCCATCAGAGGAGCTGGGGGAATTCAGCTTGCAGTACACGTGGCCTGAGATGACATTCCAGATGATAATCTCCCCATCGTAACTGGAGGTGGCGAGGAGAGAAGGTGGACAATGAGCCACACAGAGAATGTCTTCCTTGTGTCCATGGTTCTAGGAAAGATAGAGGGGAACAGAGTGAGAAACCCAATCTCCAGTCACCCACAGCTCACTTGCCTGCATTCGATGCCTGGACAGGGGAGGAAGAAGGGTTCCTCCTGTGGTTACCCCTGGAACCTGGTGGCCCAGCCCAGGGGGTCAGGGCAACCCTCACAGATCAGCCAGAGAGGAGCTGCATCCTCCTGAGTCAGTTTCATCACCTTCCCCGGGGAAGTGCTACTTCTATCAGCTTCCTTACCACCCCCAGTGCTAGCAAGGAGGCTCTTTGCAAGGAGACCTCTTTGGGGCTGAAATGTTGATGGGAATGTGAGAATGGAACCCAAGCACTGACCAAGGGGGTCTGGCCTCCCATGAGCCCCAGGTCTAACTTCCAGGGTGTAGAGTCCCTCAGCTCTGTTCCTCCAGGGCTCCCCTCTGCCCCCCAGTGTGGCCTACAAGTGTCCTTAAGAATTGGAATTACCTACTCGCCTTGAAAGGAGGATTTGGGTACATGCGTGCTTAAGAAAGATAAGAAACACAACAAAAATGTTTTTGTTTTTCAGACCAGAGCTGCAGACCTCAAAGAGTGCCTGACTATTCTCCAGTTGAAGGTTGAAAGTGCAACCTTTCTCCCTGGGGTGGCGTTCCCTCGTGAAGAGAACTTCTCCTGGGGCTGTAAAGGGCATTCCTTCTCCCTCGTCTCCACGTGCTTCCTGCAGAGTGTCCCTTGAGGACCCTTCTATTATCGGCTAAGACGTCCCTTCTGCCTGAAAGCAGCTGGGAAGGTGGTGGGAAGGACAGCTGGAGAGAAAGTCAATGACTTCCTTCTGGCAGTCTGCCTCCAAATCTCACCTCCTTCTGAGGTCTGTGAGCACTGGTGTCTGGAGGTTCTCTCTCCAAGGTCCCCACTACTTGCGGAATGCAGTTTACATGCCTTGGATGGCTTTCAGGCTCTGGTTTAACTTCCAGCCTCATTTCCCTCCTGTACCTGAATCTCCAGCCCCTCAGACTCTTCATAGCCCTTCCAGACAACATGCTTCTCCTGCTTCCAGACAGGCCTCTCCCCATCTCCCCCATCCAGACTGCCTTTTTCTGCTTGGCCTCCCAGAAAAATCCTAGTAATCTTTTAATATCCTCCATGATGTTAAAGCAAAATTGGTAGTTCCCACCTCTGGGTTTCTCTAGTATTTCATACATTATTACATCATCTGTCACATCGTATAAGGATTACTTCCTTAGTTTATCTCCTTGCCAGTCTGTGAGACTCTGGGCTGGGAATCACACTTTATTCATGTTTGTATCCTGTGTGCCTACCCACAAAGGATGGCACTATGTCAGTGCTTGATAAGTAGGGGTTGAAAGAACTGATAACTGAATGAATAAATATTTGGATGACTAATACCTCCCTGACCCTTGCATGATTTCTGCCCTTACAATGGCTGTGGCTTTCCTAGGGGCATTTTCTGCAGACTCTGTTCTTTCACTTAATAATCACTCATCTGTAAACTTCATAAAGGCAGGGACCATGTGACGACCACTTTGCTCATCATTGCAAGCTCAGTGGCCAGCACAGGCTGGGCACATGTTTGTTGAATGAAAGCCCATTATTAATATAAGCTAGGCACTGAGCTACATCTTGGGAATACAATGGAGAAAGCAGCCGAGGTTTGTCTTCATGACTTTGTATTCTAGTGACTTGTGGCTTTTGGAATATATGCAGGGCATAATGTGGGGTTGGCTGGTGGGAAATGCTTGTGCACAGTGACCTTCCTTTCTTAATACTTGTCTTAATGGCTTGACACCCAGACATTTTTTAAAATTTATTTTTAATTCGAGGATAACTGTTTTACAAAGCTGTATCGGTCTTTGATGTACTACAACAATGTGAGTCCAGACAGCTTTGAGGGAGATCATTTGGCTCTGGGAAGCTGTAGAAGGTTGGGGGCAGTTTAAGTGCCTATAAGGATTATAAGACGTTCCCTGGCTCTGGGTCCCTAACAAGCCATGGGGCAGCAGGAATGTCATTGCTTAGGTTCCCTGGCTGCCCAAGGATGGCACGGTGAATGCTTATGGTTTTGCACTGGAGCAGAAGCAGGAAGTGGATGCTTCCTTGAAGAAAGTCACCCCCAGCAGGTCCTGGACTGCCATTCTTGCACAATAGGACTCCAGGCTGAATTCAAGGAGAGCTGTGCGGACTTGCTCCTGGGCCTCATGCCCCAAACTGAACACAGGCCATCACTCCGCCTGGGACAGAAGCAGCTGCCTAGAGCTCAGGGCTCTTGGCTCTACCTGGACCCAATCATGAATCCCACCACACTGGAGGCTCTTGAGATGCTGTGACCACCCTAGGCAGGCCCAGGGGACTTAGGATGAGCCTCTGCAGGGAATGACATCCCCATCAAGTGCCACTGTTTGGGTTGAGAGTTGGACAGTGGACCAGGGCTCACCAAGTCATCTTGCCAGTGTGGCTGTGGCTTCCGGAAGTGATGAAAGTCACACGGTGTGTCCTGCATCCAAAGCCAAACAGGAGACGTTGTACCAGCAGTAAAATGAGCTGCCAACACACTCACAGCTTCAGAGAGAGGTGCTGGCACATTTTACAACCCTACCCCTCACTCCACCAGTGATGTAGATTTTTGAAATGTCAAAGCAAATTCCCCTAGTGCTAGTGGGAATAAAAAGCAATCCACTCCTGACGTTTGGGTGATTGCATTTCAGCAAATCATATGCCAACTGACAAGCTCTCCTTGGATGGTCTGCATAGCTTGACCTCCATAATAAGACCCATAGCTGTTGCATGAGCTAAAACAAAAGCCATAAGCCCAGGAATCTATAATACCAAAGGGCGAATTCAATGCCAAGACCTCTCAGGTAGTCATGTTGCAGATCATCTGAGGATGCTAGGCTTAGGCTGTGAAATACACCATACTTTCAAATGAATAAAGAACTTACAATGTTTAAAGACTTTGGAAATACAGAACCATCAGCATAGCAAGCAAGGGAAATAAAATGCCACAGGTAGATTTAAAATGCTGTTTTAAGTCAGAATTTTCATCTTCCCCTATTTCTTAATTCCCTTTCCCAACTGTAAGTCATAAAAAAGAATTTTTTCCCACAGAGATGCTTATAGATGGCATTTATTTCCTTTTCTCATTTAGAGAGGGACTGGGGCACAAAGAAAGAAATGATAACCCACTCTAGCATTCTTGCCTGGGGAATTCCATGGACAGAGGAGCCTGGCAGGATACAGTCCATGGGGTTGCAAAGAGTCGGACACGATTGACTTACTAACACTTTCACAGAAAATAAAGACAAGATGGGAGAGAGAAGGAAGAATTTAGAGAGCCAGAGAGTTGACAGTCTGGTTAATCTTCAGTTAGGGCTGAGGGTATTAGAGATGAAGCTGGAAGCCCCTGCGTGGGGAGGGTAGCACTGCCACCTGCACAAAGGATGAGAAGACCAGCAGGGTGCGAGGAGCTGCAGCTGTCAGGGCGAGTCTGGTTTGGATCCCCGGAGATGCCCTCTCTGCCCCTGAGAGCTTTTATACCCAGCACTCTGTGATACCATGATTTATAATAAGAAATATCTGTTTGGGCTTTGTCCACATCCTGGCACACAGTTGCTAAGACCTTGCAGTTTCTTAGCGATGAGACCATGGAAGCTCCTCGCCCTTTCCCATACCTCACTGTCTCATCTCTTTCATCTGTCTGTCCCAGAGTTATATCCATTTATAGTAAAATGATAATCCATTAAGTAAAGTATTTCTCTAAGTTCTGTGTGATGCTCGAGAAAGTTAAAATAATCCAAGGAGGGGGTTGTTGGATCTTCTAGTCTATAGTCAGCTGGACAGGACTTGCAAATGACGTCTGAAGTGGAGGGGTGGGAGTCTCGTGCCTTGGAAGAGTGAACTCTGCCCCATGGAATCTGATGCTCTCCCCAGGCAGACAGGGTCAGAACTGTAGGGTACCAGCTGGTGTTGGAGAATGGCTTGCTGGGAAAACCCCCACACATCAGAACTGGATGTAGTGTCATTACACTTCTTCCCATAGAAAAGAATTAAAGAAACTGAAAGAGAAAAACTGAAGTTTTTTAAAGGGAAGGAGGGAGGAAAGATGGGGAGAAAAGGGGAGAGAAGGAAGGAGGAAACACTTTTTTTCTGTATCATTGCTTGGCTTATACCAGAGAGAGGTACAAAGAATTTCTCCAAAATCTGTTTTTAGAGAGAAAAGATTCAGCAGGGGGTGGGGGTGGGGAGATGCATATCAGTTGGAAGCTGGGTTTTGAAACATCATAATTCTGTACATTTCACTTACAAAGTACACATCTATTCTTCTCTCCCATTCAACCGGCTATGATACACCTAGAACAATAACAGATGGTTACATTTTGATACTTAAACTTATCATTTGCTTAATTTTTGCATGGAATCAGCACTGTGGCTTGATTTTGCCGTGTCCATGTGATAAATGAAGAGAGCAAGAAAGTCATCTCTTCTGTTTTTTTATGAAGAGCAAGATAAAAGATGATTTGGTAAATGAGGGTCAGTTTTTTAACTGGCTCTTAAAGGATTAGGGACAGAAACAGGATACTCTGTTGTTCCCAAGGTCTGTTCCATGAGCAGCTGCCCTTCTGAGGATTACTCCATCCGGAGAGCCTGGCTGAACCATGGAGGCAAGAACACAAATAGAAATGGATCAAGTACTGCTTTTTAACACTTGCATGTCCAGGAGGGAATTCATTGGATTTTTATTCTTTGACTTATGGCTGCTGAATTTAGCTACTCTAGTTTGTGATTTATTCCTTTTTAAAGCATTTGGTGGAGACGCACTGTTTCCTATCTCTACCTCTAAACCATTATCAAAATGTGAAGAGAATTGTTTCCAATATTCTGGAAGAGACAAGTTGCCTAAATTACCATCAGGGAGAAACCACAGTTTGGGGAATTCTTTGACACATTTCCTTCTGGAAAATTCCCTCTACTATCTTTAGTATCCTTCCCTAGGACAAAGTTTGTGTCAAAAAGGATACCAACCAAACATTCAAAGTTGTCTCTCATATATTCAAGCTGAATGTAACTCACTTATTTTGGTTCACTTCCAAGTAGGTGCAATCACAGACTTCACCTTGCTCTCCATCTAGAAAGATAATATTATTAACTTAGAGTCCAAGTACATATAAGAGTATAAATGAAGTCCAAGTAAATAAGATAAAAATTTTTTTCTTTATTAGCTCCTGAATCACTTTACACATGTTGGCTTAATCCAACTGATGACTGGGGAAACTTCAGCACTTACTTTCTGGTTTTCAGACCACAGTTAGGTGTCTTTCCAAGCCATCAGAACACAGCTGATGCCACTCTCACTGCCCTAAAAGGTGGATTCAGCCCTGGCTCAGCCATGGCAAGAGTCTCACCTTGTCCTGCAGAGTGCCTGACACTTATTGACAGTGAACCAGCAACAAACTCCTGAAGTCAAAGGCAAAACTAGGAACCACACACACATTGCGCTGAGCAATTTTTATCCTATTTACTTGGACTTTGTTTATATCCTCTGATAGTTGAAGAATGTTTGCCTCTGATTTTCCTCATAGTTTCACAGCCCAGAATTGCGGAAATTTTACCAGGAATAGACCCAGCACGTGAACAAAGGGAATAAGCAACCTTGAAAAAAAGATCACAATGGCACATAAAAAAGACTTGCTTTTAGTTCATCTAAGTTCATTTAGACTTTGTGATGTTTGACTTATGTGATATTTAAAATTTTTAGCAAAATTAAATATTTTAAAGATTTTTTTTGGGGGGGTGGGGGCAGGTGCTTTCCTCATAGCTCATGGATAAAGAATCTGCCTGCAATGCAGGAGACCTGGGTTCAATTCCTGAGTTGAGAAAATCCCCTGGAGAAGGGAATGACAACCCACTCCAGTATGATTGCCTGGGAAATCCCATGGACAGAGGAGCCTGGCTGTTTTTAAAGCATTTGTTGAATTTGTTACAATATTGCTTCTGTTTCATGTTTCGGTTTTTTGGTTGTGAGGCATGTGGGATTTAAGCCCCCTGACAAGGGATTGAAACCTACACCCCCTGCAATGGAAGGCAAAGTCTTAACCGCTAGACTGCCAGGGAAGTCCCAGGTTGAGTCCCAGGGAAGTCCCAGGTTAAACTTTTTAAAGAATCCAGGTCTATACCAGGCAGTGAGGGAACAAATGCACAGGCTATAGATGGGAGCACAAACATATGTGAAGTATGTCCCTCCTGCCAGTAGTTTAGAGTCAGTGGTGACAAAATACCAGAGAGAAAGGATATAACATTGTTACATGCATCCTAGATTCTGTTTCATTTGATTTCTCCTGCATTTGCCCCAAATGCCTAATGTGTGTCATTATTTTATGGGGACCCTTGGTAGGAGGTGACTCACCATGTCTCAGAGTGTGCAGACAATGTCCACTGTTGTAGCTCCATATTTTCAGACAACCGTCTCTGCCCCCAGTAACCAGCCTAAAAAGCGGAACCCTCCATCAGGACAGAAGTCAGGGGTCATCCTGCCTAACAGTAGAAGATGCTGAGGAAAGCACATACCTTCTTCCACTGGAGTCAAAGGTCAGACAGGTGATTCCAGCAGTGCCATGAGCCCCAGTAAATTCAGACAACAGTCTTCCCGTTTCAAAGTCCCATACTTTTACCACCTGTAACAGGAAGTTGAAAAAAGCAGCCTGGAGACACTGGCTATCAAATTAGAGAGAATTTACATTCAGAGGTCTAGTGTCATAGATATGAAAGATGAGCTTTTATTCTGAAGGTTTCTGTACTTTTAACACAAGTTGGCTTACCTGAGTGTGTTTGTTAGCTAGGGCTGCCTTAACAAAATACCATAGACTGGGGCCATAAACAAGAGACATGTATTTTCTCACAGTGCAAGATCAAGTTGCCAGCAGGGTTTGGTCTCTTCCGAGGCTTCTCCTTGGCTTGTGGATGGACACCTTCTCACTGAGTCCTCATGTGGTCTTTTCTCTGTGCCTCTGAACCCAAGCATCTCTTTACGCGTACAAATTTCTTCTCATTATAAGAACGCCAGTCAGACTGGATTAGGGCCCACCCTCACAGTCTCAGTTTAACTTGATGACCTCTCTAAAGACTGTCTCCAAATACAACCATATTCTGAGGTACTGAGCATTAGGACTTCAACACATGAATTTGAGGGGAACACAATTCAGTCCATAGTACTGACTGAGAAGATCAGAAAATTTAGTAGCATTGGATAAAAATTTCCTGACCATATAACTCAAGAGAAGACAGGTGTGAATTGAATTTTGAGCAGCCAAATTTACTTACCACCAAAGCAAAGCTGAATAGGAGAGATGACACATTTTCTGGGAAGGATATATAAACCCTCAGCTTTAAAGCTTTGCTCAGTCCAGCTTGTTCCAGTCTTGCAGTTACTTTCTTTTCACCCCATCTCTTGAGCACTCTTCGAATGAAAATCATCTTTAAACATTTTTTTAAAAAATTTTTTGGCTGTGTCATGGCACGGTGGGATCTTAGTTCCCAGACCAGGGATTGAATCTGTGCCCCTGGCAGTGGAAGCAGAGTCCTAACCACTGGACCACCAAGGAAGTCCCCAAAATTGTTATTCTGATAAACTTTGGTATTACATGTAACTATGCATGTGTTAAGTTGCAGTTCACAAGTAATGTATTGTAAACATTTCATTGAACTCTATTAATCTTCATTGTGCAGCTTATAAGCATTTTGGAGGTGTCAAAATTTGGTGGTCCCTAGTGTTCAGTTTATACAAATGAATGAATACAATGTGATATAGTGGTATTCATAAATTCAGGCCTTATCAAGATCTTGGGCAATGGAGTCTAGATGTCAAGGATTGTGATAATGGGCATGACTATGCTACAGAGATTTCACACAGCAACAGATTTGCAAGGTGAGCAAACACTTAAATCAATAATTTAATTCAGTAAGTATAGGGGTGTTTATTACCAGCATGTGCCTAATACACTTATAATTATAGAGTATTTATATCTCAATTCAACCTCTACTTACCACCCACCACTGGGGGAGACTTGCATATCAGTGTAATGCCATTGAGGGAGGCAGGCTGTGTTAGCACAGAATTAGGAGCCCGAACGCTAATGGAGCCATTCATTCTGCCTGGATGTGGGAGGGGATCTAGGACTGTTACAGGGGCTGGTATCTGAGTTGTGCCTTAAAGAGTAAGAAGGGTTTTGACAGATTAAGAAGGAAAGAAGAGGGAAACATAGGTGCTCTGATTCCTGCCCTCAAAGGCCTGAAGAAACTGTTTAGAGGCAAGGCTTGCACGCATGAAACCGAGCAGAACACCATACAGAAGGCTCGGTGGGTGATCAGGAAGAGGGAGGTGCCTGCACAAGTCAGGGTGGAGAAGGCAAAGTTTCCCTGGCGGAGATAGGACTTGAGTTGGACCTTGAACGGTTGCTTATGTGTGTGTAGGAAAAGAGTAGGAAGCTGGAAATTCCAGGGTGGAGATGGGAAAAGTTTGCACAGAGCCAGGGGGCAGGAATGTGCAGAATGCTGAGAAGGGTGATAAGGCTGACTTCCTTGGAGTCAGAGGTGATTCTGCTAAATCTGGAGGATAAATGCTTCTCTATAAGTTTGAACCCAAACTATGCAGGAACCCACTTTCTTTGAGATGAATTGAGACTGAGTCATCATAAAAAATTTTTGACCAAGGGATCAGGTAATCTACTTCTTTTGGTACTTAATAAGACCATGGTGACCACTAATCTCTGGATCAGAAGCTTGACAAAAAGAGATGCTGGGAGTGCAGCTGAAGTGAGCATGAACAGGAAGAGGACGTGTCCGGGCTATGATGCTCCCGATGCTGTAAATCCTAAAGACAGGGTGCACCAGGCTCTGGCAGGAATGAGGGAAGAGGTCACAGGCACACGCCCAAGGACACTCACGTGCAATGCTAGAGCCCAGGTCAGTAACAAAGGAAGTGATTGAACTAATAGTAGAAGATTTCAGGACATTTCAGCAGCACCAGTGTACTTGGGATGTGCCCTCCCATTGCCTCAAGGACAGAAAAACATGAGTTGTGGGGTGTCTGTGTTTCCCTGCTCTAGTTCCTTATTCAAGGAGCAATGGTTACTGATTATGGCCCCTCCTGTGGGCTAGACACTGTGCAGGTCCTCCAGGGTGGGGCCAGCGGGGTCCTCAGGAGCTCTGCTGAGAGGGGAAGTAGATGGCAAGCTCTGAACCCTCATTCCCACATTAGACTCACAGTGGGTTAGGGGCACATTGATCATCCTATACCACACAAGAGCATTGACATGAAGTCATAACCATTCCATCGGACCAGACAGACTGTCCTTCCAAATAGCTCACACTGCAAGTCCCTGCAGAATCTGTGGGCTCTTCCATCCATGTGAGCATTCATGGAAGAGTGTCCAAACACTACAGGTGGTCAGCAGAGCAGAACTGAACCTCTCGTTTTCCACTTCTAGAGACAGATTGTCCCCGGGACATTCTGTTCCCCGTGAAGGGGAGGACAGTGGGGCCACACTTGCAAACACATCATTGCTAAACAGACTACCACTTGACACTTACAGACGCTTCTGAGCAGCTGATCACCTGCCTGAATGTGGGATTGTACCGGCAGCATACCACAGGTTCCTTGTGGGAAACCATTGGGTGAGGCTCGTGGGGAGAACTTGTTCATGAAAAACAGAGGGAGAGAAAGAGGATGAAAACTTGAACTGAGTGCATAATATGCATACCCAGGACGACACATCAATCGCTTGATTAAGACCCACTCAAATGATGGGTCTGTGACCTTGGGCAAGTCACTTAGCTGCTCAAGACTCTACTTTTAAGATCTATTAAATAGGGATAATGGTATCTACTTTAAAGCATTGTTTTGAGGATTAAATGATAAACCATATATATAGTCATCCCTCAGTATCTGTGGTGTTGGGGGTTGGTTTGAGGACCCCCAAGAACACCAAAATCCACGGGTTCTTGAGTTCCTTATGTAAAATGGCATAATATTTGCAAATACCCTATGCACATTCTTTCATATACTTTAAAACATCTCCAAATTACTTATAAAAACTAATACAATTTAAATGCTATGTATATAGTTGCCATATGTGGCAAATTCAACTTTGGGGGTCCTTTTGTTTTTTGGAAACTTCTGGAATTAAAATAATTTTTTTCTTCCATCTCCAGTTGGTTGAATGTGCTGATGCAGCACCCGTGGGCAAAGAGGGCCGACATGATTGCCTTAGCACAGGACCTCACATAACATGATGGGTGTGCAATGAGAAGCAGCCACTAACCATGAGAACGATACCATGTCTCCTTGATGGGGCAAGAAGGAGTGTGATTTCATGAGACTGCAGGGTGGACCTCCTTCCCTATTAATTCACATCTTCCCGCAAACAAACACAAACTGTATCGTCCCATTCTGAGTCCCCAAGCCTGAATGGCAGTGCTTTTCCCTCAAGGCCAGGCCAGGTCCCGGGAGGCCCTGCAGAGTGCCTCCCACTGGCACCCAGGGGCAGAGAGCTCACCTGTGCCCTTGGACTTTGCCTCTTAAGCCACCCAATCCCTTTGCACTCATCACCTCATCTGTAAAATGGAATCCTTTACAGAAACTTTGTGAGGAATAAGTGTGGAGAAGGAGGTAAAAGGCTGGCATGCAGTGGACACTGAAGAACCGAACGTTGGTCACCAGCTTCACTCCCTTAGTGCCCTGCGGTGGTCAGCCCCAAGCCTTGGCCACTCACAGGGAATCCGGGGACCCGAAACCTAAGACTTAGTGCCGGAAGAGTCTCAGTGTGGGCAAAGCTGGACTTGGCATAAGGACGATTAGAACTTTGGGAGCAGAGTCTCTGCACATCACAGATGAGACCACAGGAGGCTGTTGGCTGACCTGGTCAACATCACAAGCTCCCCAGAGACAGAGCAAGGACTGGCAGACAGTATCTGGCATTCAAGTGTTGGCGCTAGAGAAGAGGCTATTTTTGCCGTGAGGTGGAATTTCAGACACTTTGCTCCAAAAAAATCAACCCAGCAGGCTGTTTGTTCTGCACAGTGATATCATGTAGAACAAACAGCAGTTTGGCTGAGAGATGCTCCCGTTTTTCAGCTGGTCATTTTGGCCTCTTGAGTGAAGAGCCTGCCTTCCAGGCCTGGCTGGAGTGATGACCCAGCAGCACCCTCTGTGTCCTCGAGTGGCCGCCCTGCTTGAGGGACGGGGGCTTCAGGCATGGGCACTGCTGGACTGTGGGGCTGCAAGTAGGCTGATGCCTCAGGACTGAGTAAGCAGCCCCGGGGTTTCCAGGACAGCTTCCTATGGGGGTGGGCTGGTGGGTGGAATAGGCTTCAGTCTTCAGGATGATATAGGGAGGTGGTATCAGAGTTACCCGTGGGCACGTTAGGGAGAGCTCACCAGATATACACTGTGCTCAAGGTTCTGGGGCGTATAGCCGGGGGCTCACACAGAGTCCTTAGCTCTGGGTTGTCAGGTAGAAGGTCCTATGCAGCTGCACTGGGCTCTGCAGGACCTTCTGGAGAGCTGACTGCCAGGGCCCAGAGGACACCCTCCTACCTCAGCCTCAGGTGCAGGAGTGCTGGGATATCAGCGGCCACACACAGGGCTCTGGGACCGGGGAGATAGAGGCAGGCCCCAGGCTCACCCCGAATGCCGCTGACTTTGGAGAAGGCAGTGAACAAGCAACTGTTGGTCTCCAGATCCCAGATCTGAGGAGGAAGTGAGAAAAAAGTGATCAGAGCTCTTGATTAGCCTGTTTTGCTGGGTTTCCGAAGCCGTCACCTGTTGGGGGTTCTCTTAGGCTTGAGCAAAGTTCACGCACTGCCCCTCCTCCCGCCTCCCCCAAAGGAAAAGCAGTTGTCTGTAAAGGAAGCAGGAAGTGGGGGCTGAGTTCCTGAGCCCTTCTGCCAGGATGGAGCTGCCTGGCAACTGTGGCTAAGCTCCCCAGAGCTGTGCTCTACTTTCCCACCAGGAGATGCTTCTCTTCCATAGACACAGCTTCCTCCGTGGGGGCTCACAGTATGGGTCTGATCTGTGGCCCAGAGCTACTGCTGCCCCCAAGATATGCCCCCATTTCTTCCTATCGGTCCCTAAAACCCATCCCTGGAGGACACAGGCAAGAAACCTCAGGGTGACTATTGGTTGACAGCATAATCCCCCATCCCTGGGTTGGAATCCCAGCTGTACTGCCTAATCACTGTGTGGTGTTGGACAAATAACTACATTTGCTTTCCCTCAGTTTATTCATCTGTAAAATGGGGAGAATAATAGTAGCATTTACCTTATAGAATTGTTTTAAGGAATCTAAACATTTAATAAAATATGGAGTGCTAGAAAATGGTACAATATGGCTAGAATAATACTATTATTGTTCATCACTCATTCTTCTTGCCCGCACTGTGTGACACACGGGATCTTGGTTCCCAGACTAGGGATTGAACTATCATCTCCTGCAACGGAAACAGGGAATCTCAATGGCTGGACTGCTAGGAAAGTCCTGACAGCCCTGTTCTTGAAGGGAGAAAAAGTGCCCCTCACCAGAAGCACTGGTGCTGGATTGTTACACTAGACAGAAATAAACATACATTGTTTCAACCTATGGAAAATAAGGGTTTATCTGTTACAGTGGCAAGCCTTACCTTAACTAACACACCATGCTATCTTCCTTCCAAGAAATAGTTTTCTTTCCACCCTAATTCTTGTTGACATAAAACAGTTCTTTTTGTGGTGTGCAATATTAAATGCACAAAAAATAACAAGTGAAAATGGAAATCTGAATCTGTCACTTTGCTCTTCTTTAGAGAATGCCAGAAACTAGCAGACTCCTGAAACATTTTGTGGGTCCCCATGATTTACAGACATGAAATATTTGGGCTAAAAAAAATCAACCAAAGAATGAAGACTATCTGATCAGGCATGCTAGAAATTTAGCTGTTTGCTTCCTAGTTGATTAGTTTTTATTTGATAGGAATAATATATTCTGAAATAAATTACACACCCTATTTCCAAGATAGGATTTCAATATATTTTAAACACACTTTGGGAAGTGATTCAATATGCCTGAATCATCACAGGCAAGATGCTAATCTTGTCATCATGAGTTTAGATTGGAAGAAAATGGAGAGGCACTAGGAAAAGAAATAGGATAGAAGACGTGTCCTCACATACAGAATTATGATTATCTGATGGTAGCAAGTTTTGAAAAAAAAGTGAATTAAAAATATGAAATCTCCAACTTTGTGGCCTTGGAGAATGCCTTTGGATGAATTTGATTTTCAAAATAAATAAAAAACTAAAGTTCGTAAATCTTACCATTTTAATCAGTTTTTCTTGGAGGACTGAATTGAGTTTGAGTCCTGGTTGTATCCCTGACTGTGATCTCAACACCTAATTCTATATAAATATGCTCTTCATTGCCATGAGATGCACTCTGAGCTCACTACACGGGAGCCAAGCTGGACCCCACAAACAGTAAAATCCCAGAGTGTCACAGGGCCCCCGCTCTCAGGCTTTAGGGCTTTTCTCTCTTTTGCCCACTTTGGCTCCCTTTATGAGACTTCCCTGGTGGTTCAGCAGGTAAAGAATTTGCCTGCAGTGTAGGAGACACAGGAGATGAGGCTTTGTTCCTCGGGCCAGAAGAGCCCCTGGAGAAGGAAATGGCAACCCTCTCCAGTACTCTTGCCTGAAAAATCCCATGGCCAGAGGAGCCTGGCAGGCTGTAGTCCAAAGGGTCGCAAAGAGTTGGATGCAACTAAGCATGCAAGCATGCTCCCTTTATGATCTCATCTACTCGATGGCTTAAAATTCCATCTAAATGCTGATTCCCAAATTCGTATCTCCAGCTCTGATATCTCCCCTCTCTCAGGACGACTGTCTCCAGCACATCCACAACTGGGCTCCTGATATTATGCTCCTCTCACCCACCACCTTCCTCAACACAGACCTAAAATCTTGGTGTCATCCTTGACTCCTCACTCCCTCTCTTCCTTAAAAAAAATCACAGCCTTATTGACATTTAATTCACAAACTACAAAATTTGCATTTTAAAGCTTACTATTCAGTGGTTTTTAGGATATTCACAGAGTTGTGCAACCATCGCCACTTATTTCAAAAAAATTTCATTCCTCCAAAAGAAAACCCCATACCCATTAACTGCTACCCCCTATTCCCATCTCACCCCACCCCCTGACAAGCACTAAGCTAATTTCTGTCACTGAATTTGCCTACTCTGGACATTTCATGTAAATGGAATTACACAGTGCACAGCCCTTTGCAACTGGCTTTCACTCAACACTTACAGCTTCTCATGTTTTATGTGTTGTACCATATGATAGTGCTTCATTTCTATTTTTTTGTTGCTAAATAATATTTCATTGTATGGATGATCGGATTTTGTTTATCCATTCCTTGGTTCATGGACATTTGGTTTATTTCTACTTTTTGGCTGTCATGAATGCTGCTATGAATATCCATATGTAAGTATTTTTGTGAACAGATGTTTTCAATTCTCTTGGGTATAAACCCAGGAGTGGAAATGCTAGGTCATATGTTAACTTTCTGGTTAACATTTAAAGAACTACCAAAATGTTTTCCAAAGTGGCTGTACCATTTAAATTCCCACCAGCAATCCACAAGGGTTCCAATTTCTCCACTTCCTTGCCAACATTTGTTATCATCTAGCTTTTAATGTTAGCCATCCTAATGGGCGTGGTTTGAATTTTCACAGTGACTAATGATGTTGAGCATCTTGTCCTGTGTTTATTGGCCGTTTGAATATTTTCTTTGAAGGACTTTCTGTCCAAGTCCTTTGCCCATTTATTTATTTATTTTTTTCCTTTGCCTATTTAAAAATAAGCTATTTGTGCTTTTTCTTTTAATTGTTTTTTTTTATTAATTTTTATTAGTTGGAGGCTAATTACTTTAGAATATTGTAGTGGTTTTTGCCATACATTGACATGAATCAGCCACGGGTTTACGTGTGTTCCCCATCCCGATCCCCGCTATTTGTGCTTTTATTGCTGAGCATTGAGGTCTTTGTATTCTAGGTGCAAGTCCCTCATCAGATATATGGTTTGCAGGTATTTTATCTCATCCTGTAGGTTGTCTAATCACTTTCTTAATACTGTCCTTTAAAAGCACAAGTTTTTATTTTTGAGGAAATCAACTCATTTTTTTCCCCCTTTAGTCTCTAATGCTTTTGATGCCATATCTAAGAAATCATTGCCTAGCCCAAGGTCATGAAGATTTACTCCCATGTTTTCTTCTAAAAGTTTTGTAGATGTAGCTCTTTTTACACTTAGGTCTATGATCCATTTTGAGTTAACCTTTTTGTACAGTGTGAGGTAAGAGATTTAAGTCCAAAATCAAAGTGTCGAAAGATGTGGATCCTTTAATGACCTTTCTCCTGGGCTTGCAGAAGACCATCTTTCTGCTGTGTCCTTGCAAGGCTGCCTCTCAGTCTAAGTGTCCTGATTTCCTCTTCTTATAAGGGCATCAGTCACACGAGATTAGGGCCCACCAATATGACCTCATTTAACCTTCAGTATTTCTTTATAGGGGCTTCCCTGGTGGTTCAGTGGTCAGGAATCCGCCCGCCAATGCAGGGGATGCAAGAGACTTGGGTTCAATCCCTGGGTTGGGAAGATCCCCTGGAGAAGGAAATGGTGACCCACTCCAGTATTCTTGCCTGAGAAATCCCGCAGGCAGAGGAGCCTGGTGGGCTATAGTCCATGGGGTTTCAAAAGAGTTGGACACGACTTAGCAAAAGAGTTGGACATGACTTAGTGACTAAGCAAAAACCCAGCAATTTCTTTATAGGCCCTATCTGTAAATACAACCATATTCTAAAGTACTGGGGCTTAACACTTCGACATATGAATTCTGAAGAGACACAATTCAGCTCAGCGTCTATCAATCATTTATTATGTGAGGGGTCAGGGAGCTGGTTTATGCATCTGAAGTGAATCTGATCTCTGTTCTGAGGTTCCAGCAACTCACATTGCTCTAAACAATGTGGCCCTGTGACAGTCCAGAAAAGAAGGTGGATGAGCCATGGAAACTTGTCATATTCACTGGAAAAGCACATGAGGTGATGGATGAAACAAATCAGTGAGGCTTTTCTTCTTTTTTAATTGAAAAAATAGTGTATTCCAGAGATATTAGAGTGACTGGGCTTTAGAGGCAGACAGGACCCTGGGTATTAAAAGAGGTATGAAGGCAAACAAAATGAAGGTAGGGATGTTGCTACCTCTGCCAGGGCCAGAAAGGTTTAAATTCTAAGCCTTAGAGAAAGCATTTCAGAAAGGGCCCACTTGCTCTATGAGTACTGCAAGATAAGATGATTACCTCTAGTGGCAAAGGACTGCTGACTCCTTCTGTCCCAGTTCTGTCCCCAGTTCCCCCTCTCCCCAACCTGCATTCTCACAAGGAATCTCTGGATGGGATATAAGCAGAGGACTCAGTGCTATAATGTTTACTCATCCCAACAAAACAGCAGGTATAGAAAGTTCTCGGAGAGGCTGCCCTTCGCCTGCTCGCCTATTCTCCATTTCAAAAGCAGATCCATGGAAGCAAATGCCATCTGCTAATCAGAGGCCCCAAAGGCTCCAGAGAGAGGAACAAAAACATGAAAGGAACACCTTCTCTGTCTAAAACCACGTTGGATAACACATCGAAACATAACAGGGCAAAGACTTTAATAGTGTTGTCGGTGGGCATGGAAAATATCTCGTTATCCTCAGCAGACACATGGATGTAAATCACTGGAGCTGTGTGGCTTCTCAGCATACCTGTTGGTTTTCTAGAATGGAAAAAGAACAGATGAACACCAGGCAGTTCTAGCTGAGGCTTCTAAATAAAAATGCAAGACTAAACTTGGCCCGGATCTGGCAGCTCTACTCAGCCTGAGGAGGGTTATGTCTCCCTCTGAAACGACACACGTATATATCTTGTGTGATAAAAGGAGTGAAGCAGATAATGTGCAGTTATAGCAACACAACTCGGTGTGAGATGAAGCCCTGGGCTTTGTTTTCTCCCAGGGCTGGCAATATCGCTATAAAAGGAATAAGCTCGGAAGAGCGCAGGGTGGGGTTGGAAGAGACTCCACGCAGGTTGTTGCTTTATGCAGTATTCAGATCTGGTGTGAATGTCTTTCTAATAAGAGTTTATTTTAAGGAGTTCTGAGGGATCGCAGGGCCCTGAAGGGTGCAGGGCTGCGTGTGCTGTGGGAGGAGAAGGGACGCAGGGCTGAGGTTGATGGGGAGAGAACAGTGTCTTTTTATAACCACATCACTGGGAAGTAAGCAAATGTTTCTATCTTCTGACAAACAGGAGGCTAAGGTAATAGAAGTGGATAGAAAAATCATGTTTCTTTTTTCCTCCCTTCCTTCCGTTTCTTTCCTTCTTCTTAGGCATCAGACATTGCACTGAGTGCCCTGCATGGATGGTCTCATTTGCGATCTGTACTGCTAATCTACAGAAGACTCCCAAGAGTCCTGTGGGCTGCAAGGAGATCAAACCAGTCAGTCCTAAAGGAAATCAACCCCGAATATTCATTGGAAGGACTGATGCTGAAGCTCCAATACTTTGGCCACCTGATGCGAAGAGCCGACTCATTGGAAAAGACCTTGATGCTGGGAAAGACAGAGGGCAGGAAGAGAAGGGGATGACAGAAGATGAGAAGGTTGGATGGCATCACCAACTCAATGGACATGAGTTTGAGCAAATTATGGGAGACAGTGTAGGGCAGGGAAGCCTAGCGGGCAACAGTCCATGGGAATGCAGTCCATACGACTTAGCTCACTGAACAACAACAACTACTACTGCTAATCCAGGAGTGGATATTCTTGTTATTGCTGAAGAGGGACTGGAGGCTGCAGCCCTTGCCCAGGATCATTCAGCTAGAAAGGGACAGAGGCCGGATCCGTGAGCTCACTGCCTTGGAGCACTGCCCAGCAGCTGAGGGGGCAGGGGTCACCTGGCAGGACCTCACTGATGTCTGTGCAGGGGCTCAGCAGTAACCTAGGCTTTCTGTAGGTGGCTGGTTCTTACTCCAAACCCCATATCAACTCCCCATTTCCCTCCTCTCCTTCCTTCTTCAACACTTGTCAGCAGAAATGACACAGCTTTTAGCAACCAAGTTGCATTTAAATCCTAATTCTGCCATTAGTACCCCAAAATTACTTAGCTCCTCTGAGCTTCAGTTTCTTCCTTGGTAAATGGAGTTGATGTGAGGATTAGAGAGAATGAATATGGGGCACAGTGCTCGGTACCAAGTAGGTGCTCAGTAAAGTGACAATTTCTGTTATTTCCAAGAAAGCATTACTGAGACTCATTCTGCAGGGACCCACATGAAGGTGGTGGTCACTCTCAGGAGTATGATAATTACACACTGAAGCGGTGATGGCAACAGGCTGCTCTTCTGATTAAACAGTTTGCTACCCTGGCTACCCCAGTTCCAGGCTTTCTAGAAGAATCCCTGTTTTCTTAGGTCATTTCTGCTATATTTCAGGGGCAGTGGAGTCCTTAAATTAGACGTGGCTACAGAACTCCAGCAGAGAAGTGAGGGTAAGCTTAGGGCCACCTGAGTGAGGCACACAGAAGGGACACTGATTGCAGATCAAAATCCCTAATCACTCTCTACAACTGATCACCATCCATCGTAGGGAAGACAGCAATCTGATCAAAGAAAATCCTTCCAGTTGTGAGTGAATGATGGTTTTATATGATCTCTATGTCTTTGCAAGCTATTTGTATTTTAAATGATTGCTTATTAACCCCCCAAAATGACTTTGTAAGAGCCATAAGCAGAAATTTCTGGGTTGTGTGTCTGGGAGATCAGTTTTGGACAGGGGCTCTTAAAGTAAAGGGGAATTTTAGTGATCCTCAGTCCTGCTCTCCTGTACTTATCAGGTCAAGGGCACCCTTGGCTGGAGAGAGAGAGAAAACTTACCCAGGCAGATAAGGATTCCAGACTCTAATTATCCTATCCATTCCACCTGTGAATAGCAAATTCTTTCCCTTGCAGAACGTAAATGCCTTGACTCCTTTGTGGATGCAGAAAACTGTTTGATCACATCCTTCTTGCCTTTGGGGCAAACCGAGGAATACTTGGTCTTTTCTTGCTTTGACATTTTTCCCAACATCCTTTATCTCTTTCATCTTTTGCTTGACATTTGTTGTTCCCACAGTGCACCCTAAAAATATTCACAGAAAAGCAAAACAGTTTCTCAACATGATCAGTCAATTTTTGGACAAGTTACTAATTTTTAAAGATCTCAGGTTCATTTTCAGTGATCATAGTGTTTTCTTCTTTTTTACCCCAGGAGTTAAACCATAGATAGTCTGAAGAATGAAAATGATATTGTGAGAAAAGCAAGGTTTCCCCAAATCTCTACTGAGTGCCAGGCATTGGGTCAGAGCCTCCCCATACATGATCTTGTTTGAGCCTCAAAGAAACTCAGTGAGGTAAGCACTTTTACCACTACCTTACAGGTGAGAAAACTTACACATAGAGAGGTTAAACACTTGTCATCAAGAAAACACTGGAGCCAAGGAAGCACCATCTGACTCCTAGATCAGGGCTTCCAGGTTTCATCAACTAACCAGTCAATTTCATTTACAACTCTTCTGACATGTATTTGAGTCAAATGACTCAAATGACTTTTGGGCTTATGAATCTACAGAACAATAGAATAAAATAGGAGCATCACACAGAAGCATCACTCAGAAATGATCATGGGCCTTCCTATAGGCTTTATACATTGGTTTTGAGACAGGCTGGGACCTAGGACCCTTGACTAGAGTTCTTGCATCTAGATAAAAGTCTCTTCAAGCAACAAAAATACAAGAAGCTATACAAGACTAAAAATAACTTACGTGCATGTGTGCTAAGTTGGTGCATATGTACTAAGTCACTTCAGTTGTGTCCGACTCTGCGATCCCATGGACTGTAGCCCACCAGTCTCCTCTGTCCATGGGATTCTCCATGCAAGAATACTGGAGTGGGTTGTTATGCCCTCCTCCAAGGGATCTTTCCAACCCAGGGACTGAATCCATGTCTCCTGTGGCTTGTGCATTGCAGGCGGATTTTTTTTTTTATCACTGAGCCACCAGGAAAGCCCAAAATAACTACATGAAAGCCCAATCGGGGCAATTATGAACTATAAGATACAAAAAGGCTGCAAACCAACCGCCGTTTCTGAGGTGGGGAGAGCAAAAGTAGGGTACTGTGCATGAGCTTGCACACAGCACTACCAAGGGGGTGGGCAGGTCACCTAAGGCACCCTTCCTGCCTGACCTGCCCATCTGCCCCCACCCTCACCACGTTTAAGGAACCAGCTTGCCCTGTCTTGGGGAGTGAGCAAGGCACCTGTGACTTGTTTTTGCCTCCTCCTCCTGCTGCTGCTGCTGCTAAGTCGCTTCAGTCATGTCCGAGTCTGTGCGACCCCATAGACGGGAGCCCACCAGACTCCTCTGTCCCTGGGATTCTCCAGGCAAGAGCACTGGAGTGGGTTGCCATTTCCTTCTCCAATGCACGAAAGGGAAAAGTGAAAGGGAAGTCGCTTAGTCATGTCCGACTCTTAGCGACCCCATGGACTGCAGCCTACCAGGCTCCTCCATCCATGGGATTTTCCAGACTCTGTCTGTGGCTGTTTCTCAGGGCCTCTGGGTTAGGGCGTGTTGTGCAAGAGAGGGCGGGCAGGTGTCACAGTTGGGGGAAGGGAGCCCTCCTCTTTCCACTTCAGAGCTTCTCTTCTTCAGAGTCCCGTGGCTGTTCTCCATTCCCTGAATTCCAATAGGGAAGCAGAGCCATTTCTGAACCGGGGTCTCTGACACCCACATTATTTGAGGCTATATAACCCGAGTCCAGAGTCATCCCTGGCTGGTTTATAGACAGTGAGTGTGGGTGAAGACCCTGCCCCCCATGGCTCCTCCCCACAGTGGCCAAGGGCTGGGTCGGGTGGTCCCTCTGGGCCCACCCTTCCTTTCTCCTGTAGCATGCAGCAGGGAAAGTAAACAGGATTGAACTTGCAGCTCTTTCATCTGCCAGGCAGAGGGGAGGGGAAGACAAGTGCTGAGTGTAGATAATTACTTCAGATGACAGTGTGAGCCTGCGTTATCTGAGCACTTGAAATGTCAAAGCAATGCAGCAAACCCTCCACAAACACCAGTTCAACACTTTCACCCCTCTTGTTGTGAGCAGAGATCTGAAACATCTAAGCAGGTGTGTCACTTTATTTTTAATTTTTTTAAGTGAAGGGAGAGCAGCCAGTTCATTTGCATGATCTCTAGTGGTTCTTTTCCAACCAAGCCAGAAAGAGATACATGTTTAAGTGGTTGTCATGGAAACCAGAGAGCATTGCTCTCCCCCAAGGTCTGAAAGAAGGATGATGAAAAGTTTAAGCAGTCACCATGGAAACTGAGAGCAGATTCAAGGAGGGCTCAGATCTCAGCACACTAAGTAGCAGCTAAGTCTTCAGGTGCTGGGGTCCTGGTGAATTCTGGCTGTCACTGCAGCTGCTGGTATCAGGGCTGACCCATAGGCCACTTTCATGGTCACGGGCTTAGAGCATCCCAGGGGGTCAGCACTGAGAGGACTGCGTCCTCCGCAAAGCTCAGATCCTTATTCTTCCTGTTCGGAGGTGGCCTCTCCTGCTTATCCCTCCCTGGACTTCATTCCCTCCACTCCATCTGTTCCTTCAGTGTGGCAGGAGCCCACAGATCGGCCGTCACTAGGTGGAACCTAACGCTGCTCAGGTTTGAGTTCGAGGCCCAGCCTGGTCTGTTTATGGCCTTGACCAAGATATGTCCCCTTTCACATTCATGAATAATGAAAGCAAGCAAGCAATTCCTGCCTTCCTTCGCTGCAAGGGAGCAAACGCACTTGAAAGCACTTCCTGTGCCTCACGCAGAGCCTCTGTGCCGGGTTGGTCTCTTCTGTCAAGGTTTTTCCCTCTTGCTGGAGGCGATCCTGTCTGGGGACAGCAGGCTGACCTGAAGCTGAGTTTTGAAGTTCAGGAGTAAGTAAAGGGCAGTGCCTTAGGGGCTGCGGAAGGGGACAGACCAGAAATAGAAGCTAGAATTGAGTTGAAGGGGACTGTGGGATGGTGTGAACCGTCTACTTTCTTCCCGATGGGGTTACTGTCCCTAGGGACCATTTAGGGGTGGGTGGGACGTGTCCTATAGCACAGCGGAAGAGTGTGTGAGTGTGTGTGTGAGTGTGTGGGACACATACATACCCGGCTGAGCAGTGACACAGGTGTAGGACACTGTGGGGATGTGTCGGGGGGCGTGGGTGGGGAGACAGGAGGAGAGGGCACAGGAGGAAACGCCTGACAAGCTCGTCACTACAGACTCTCAGCTTTCCTGGTGTGTATGGCCTCGAGCACTGCTTTGGGAGAGAGATGGATCTGTTACATACTCTGACTTCATAAAGAAATCCGTTCAGTAAATATTTATTGAGCACCTACTTATGTGCCATGTGCTATTCTAAGTGTTTTGGACAAAACAGTGAATAACACAGACAAAAGTCCTGCCTTCAAGGCTCTTGTCTTATGATGAAGACAGACCACAAGCAACAAACATAATAGATAAATCATATAGTATATTAGGGGGTGATTAAATGCATGGATTTAAACAAGGGCAGAACAAGGTGAGAAACATAGGGAATGGTGAGGGCAGTGACTGGGCTGTTCCATTATAAAATAATGTGGACAAGATGGCCTCACTGAGAAGTTTGAGCAAAGACCTCGAAGAGCTGAGGGAGTGAGCAATGCAGGCATTTGAGGGGGGATTTTCTAGGCACAGAGAAGAAGCAGTGAAAAGATCCTAAATAAATTCAAGAAGACTGTGTGAGTAGCCCAGAGAGACTGAGGGAAGGAAGCAGACCAGGCCCGAGATGGAAGGGTTGGGCGGACACCCAGGGCTCTGGAGGACTTGGCTTTTACTGAGTGAGCTGGGTGCCCACTGCAGGATGTGCACAGATCAGACTTTTCATTTTACAGGATATCTTTGGCCGATGCGTGGATAATAGACTACAGGGGCAGGATGGAAACAGTGGCCCAGGGAAGAGAAGTCAGTGACTTTCATGAGATGGTAGTAGTTAGGCTGGGGACAAGCGGCCAAATTCCGGGTGTATAATGAAGGTGGGATCAACAGGTCAGAATGGGTTGTGTGAGAGAGAGAGAGGAGTCAAGCGTGACTGCTAGATTCTGGCCAGAGCAACTGGAAGAATAAACTTAGAGTCAACTGAGATGAGCTTGATGGCCTGAGGAAGATGATCTAGATTCAGGTTTGGGCTTAACTTTGATGTCTGTGAGATACCCTAGTTGGAGAGATCCTTTAGACATAGCAAATACCAAACTGAAATTCAGGGGGATGTGCATTTGGGATTTGATAACATCACTAAGAGAGTGATGCAGACGTGAAAGAGAAAAGAACTGAGGATCAAAGTCTAGGGCCTCCAACATTAGGCCCTCGACATTACATCATGGAGGGAGCAAGTAAGGGATTCAGAGAAGCCATCCAGCAAAGAGCTGGATGGAAGGGAAGCCAAGAGAGGCTGGATCTCTCAAGCCAAAACACCAGGGGGTTTCCCTGGTAGTACAGTGGCTAAGACTCCACACTCCCAATGCAGAGGGCCTGGGTTCAATCCCCAGTCAGGGAACTAATCCCACATGCTTACAACTAAGAGCTGGTGCAGCCAAATAAATAAATCATATTTTTTAAGAAGGCATACAGGAAGGAAGCTGAGTGACCTGCAGCTTCAAGTGTTAAGAGAACAAATGGGATGAGGACGGGTCACTGACTCAGCAACAAGAGGGCATTGGTGGCCCTTACAAAGGTGCTTTTGGTGACATGGCAGGGACAAAGCCAGGCTGGAGTGGGTTTAGAAACACTGAAAGGACAGGGAAAAGAGAGGGCAAGTAGAAACAATGCTCCCCAGGAGTTTTGCTCCAAAGTTTCACCCACATTCTCATCCCAGTCCCATCCCAGGCACATCATAAATGCCCAACACACACAGAAACTCTGACAATGTGGACAGGGGATCGAGGTGAAGTAATTCTTTCTGTACTAGTCTTATCTAGGTCTCAACACTTCACACTGGTTTAGAGCTGTCAGCAACTGCAGTGGCCCCTGCTTTCCATGACATGAGAAGGAGGAGAGGGGATGGACAGGGGTCTCACAGGAGAATGAGGGTCTTCAGATCTGCACTGGACAGACCCTTGTGTCCAACTTCTTTTTGAACTGGAGAGGGAAGCAAGGCCTGAGGTCACAGCTCTGTGAGTGGCAGAGCTGGGGCTGGAACCCAGAGACCCTCCTTCTGATTCATTTAATTTTGTTCTGCCATAACAAACACTGAATTCTGAGCAGTTTCTGAAGGTTGACTTTCAGATTTTTAAGATTCATATCCATTACTGTTCTAGAAAATCATAATTTCCTAGTTCCCAGAAAGTCTAATGAAAATTCCCAAGAAACTTCTTATAGCACATCTCTTCTAACACTTTGGTGATTTAAATGTCAGTGAATCAGAAATTGATAAAGGGAGCTTTCCTTGAAAGATAATATGAGTTCCAAGGCTGTGAATCAGAGGTGGATGGAGTTCCTGTCAGATTCCTGTCAAGAAGAAGCAAGAAGGTGTTTCACAGGCGGCAGAGACCTTGGACATGACTCATTACTGATTCTCCAAGATGTTCAGTGGCCACTGGAACAAGATTCTACAGGAAAGGAGGAGAAAAAAAAAACCCTAAGATCTCAGTTTTTGCAAAGCTCAGAAATGCTCAGGCACAGCTCAGCTGAAAGGCTTCATAAAAGAAAGACTCATCATGACGTGGGTGGCTGACTTTTGAGTCGCTGAAGACGGTGTTAAATATTTTATCCATTACAAATGCATTGCTTGGTGAAATCAGGCCCTTAAAATCCAGGAGTGGGGCCAGGGATGGATCTAGGAAGAAGAGGGAGAGGACATTTAGGATGGTCAAGACCCGAAAAGGTGAAGATCATTGCAGCAAATGAAAGACGATCTCATGTAGAAACGCTACTGCCGCTGCCCAGGTATACAGGCACCCCACTCAGAGATCACAGAGATCAAAGGCAGCCTCTGCCAGCTAACACTTTCTCACCACCCTAGGGTGAATGATGAGGATTCAGAGTTTATTTTGCTCCAGGTTCACAATCTCCTTTGGAAATGTTGTTATTTTTGTTCAGTTACTAAGTTGTGTCCTACTCTTTGCAACCCCATGAACTGAAGCACACCAGGCTTCCCTGTCCTTTTGAAATGAGGCTGTCCCAAAACAAGTCCCAGGACCTGAGGGACAGGGCCTTACCAGTCCAAGTCTAGGGAATGAAAGGTGGAATACTGGCACTGGGGTCAGGAAAACTGAAGTAAAGGCACAATTCCACCTCTTCCAGCTAAGTGACCTGATAGGCAAACTTCTCTAAACTTTTGTATCCTCATTTGTACAATGGGAGTGCACACAGGTGTACCTCACCTCCTACTGTGAAGATCAAATAATAAATACATGTGAGTGGTTCTTGACCTTGGCAAATTAAAGTCACTGGGAAGTATCTAAAAAACACTGGTGCCTCAGCCACAGTCCTTGGACAGTGCTTTTAACCTTGGCCGCATATTAGAATCACTGGGAGAACTTTTAGAAGTCCCAATGCTCGGGAACTTCCTCGTGGTCAGGTGGTTAAGAATCCACCTTCCAAGGCTTCCCTGATAGCTCAGTTGGTAAAGAATCTACCTGCAATGCAGGGGACACCGGTTCAATTTCCTGGGTTGGGCAGATCCTCTGGAGAAGGAATAGGCTACCCACTTCAGTCTTCTTGGGCTTCCCTTGTGGCTCAGCTGGTAAAGAATCCACCAGCAATGCGGGAGACCCTGGGTTGGGAAGATCCCCTGGAGAAGGGAATGGCTATGCACTCCAGTATTCTGGCCTGGAGAATTCCATGGACTGTATAGTCCACGGGGTCACAAAGAGTAGGACACGACTGAGTGACTTTCACTTCACTTCCAATGCAGGGTATGTAGGCTTGATCCCTGGTTGTAAAACTAAGATCCCACATGCCTCAGGGCAACTAAAGCCTGCATATTGCAACTGGAGAAGGCTGCATGTTGCAACTGAGACCAGCATAGCCCACCCGCCCCCACAAAAGCCCCAATGCTCAGGCTTCACCCCAAGTCAGTTAAGTCAGAACCTCTGAAGGCAAGATCTAGGTAGTAATCAGATTTGATAAAGTACCCCAGAAGATCCTTAAGGGCAGCCAAGACTGAGAACCACTGATATATGTGAAAATTCTTTATAAGTTAGTAAGTGCCAAACACATGTAAGGAGTCTTCACCAGTATCACCTTGACAAATTAAATATGATGACAGTGACACTGAATTAGTGGACAAGGCTTTTCAACATGCTTTCAAGAGCTTCACAAAATAAGAATGAAGTTTAACAAAGTAAGTGTGAAGAATTAAGAAGATTTTCAAGTGCCAAGTTATTAGAAAAATTATTTTAAAGAGAGTAAAATAGAAAAAACAAAAAATTAAGTAAAAAAAAATATACTATTGTGATTAAAGGATACCTCTTGGACTTGACATGGACACAAGTGCCCTGCAGCTCTTTTCAAGGGCAGACAAAAAAAGAAAAATCCCTGAACAATACCTGAGGACAAGTTACTTATTCTGTGCTTTAGTTTACTCACCTGTGAGATGAGGCTTGTAGTGGGATCTACTCACAGGTTATGGTAAAGAATCTGCCTGCCAATGCAGGAGATGTAACAATCTTGGGTTCGATCCCTGGTCGGGAAGATCCCCTGGAGGAGGAAATGGCACACCACTCCAGTATTCTTGCCAGGAGAATCCCTTGGACAGAGGAGCCTGGCAGTCTACAGCCCATGGGGTTGAAAAGAGTCAGACATGACTGAGCGTCTGAGCACTGAGCAGCGAGCACATGATGGAGATTAAATAAAAGAATGCATGGAAGGAGCTTAGTGTGGGGCCTGGCAGTAAGTGTTCTAGTTAGAATGCCCCAGGACCAGTCAGAGGCCGCATCTACTTTAGACCATGAGCTGGTCTCTGGGGAATGGTCCATGTGAAGAGACTGGCTCCCGGGTCAAACCTAAATCAGCCAATCTCCTGGAGTTCATCCAGCACCAGGACATACATCCTTTGGTTGGCCCAGACAAAATGACTCCCACGCGAAGAGCACCAGCTCATCAGATTCCTACTTCAAAGACCCCAGATCAGTCTGGTCAAGTCCACGCCCAGACTGCCGTGCATCTGGGCCTGGAAGAGGGACAGGTGAATAGGGACTGGGGTTCTCCTTTCTCTGAATCTACTTGATCAAAGGCCAGCTTCCGGAAAAATCCAAAGGCCTTCAAGTACTGGGTCTTCCTCTTGCCATTGCTGACAGTTGTTATATCAAGCGTACCTTTTGAATTCTTAAAATATTCCAAATCCTACTTCATACAAATGCCCCCAAGACCACTGTTTTATGTCGATACCACCGTATATTTAATATCATGTAGCACCTTAGGGCTGCTCAGATGGTATGGCCTGAAATTGCCTGAAGCAAATTTTGCTTTTATTTCAACCCAACAAATACAAATATGGATCAAGCTCTGGGTGTGAGTGAAGGCTGGGATAGGCCTGCCTACCCTCCCTCTGCCTCCCCGGCAGCCGAGAGCGAGGCTTATAAAACCCAGCAGTGGGAGGATGTCCCATTTTGAGCTGCACTGGGAGTTATTATTCAAGTGTGGGATGCCTGCTGCAATGTAGAAATTCTAAAGGTGGGAGACAGCCAAGGGTCTGACACAATAAAAGGGAACATGGCAAACTTAAGAGAAGTGCAAGCAGTACCTATGACTAGGGCAGTGGGCTCGTGGTTGGAGCTTGAAATGACAGCTTTGATAGAATCGTAGTAGTTCAGCTAGAAATGAAAAAAAGAAATGTTAATTAGAAGATCACACACCAGGTCAAGTATGAGTCTATAACGATATCTAAGGTATTCATTCTATTGACACACATTTCAAGAGGGAGAAAGGAACCTCTTGTTCACAGGACAGGTGCGTCTTTACGAAACCACATTTGAGTGTGGGCGGCGTGGTGGGTGACAAGCTCGCAGGGGGCTCACTTGCCTTTATACTCGCTCAAGACTAGTACAGTTCAGTTCAGTTCAGTCGTTCAGTCGTGTCCGACTCTTTGCAACCCCATGAATCGCAGGAGGCCAGGCCTCCCTGTCCATCACCAACTCCAGGAATTTACTCAAACTCAAGCCCATCGAGTCGGTGATGCCATCCAGTCATCTCATCCTCTGTCGTCCCCTTCTCCTCCTGCCCCCAACCACTCCCAGCATCAGGGTCTTTTCCAATGAGTCANTGGGCTTAGTGGCAGGTGCTCTGGGGATGGGGAGGCAGAGCTTTTGAGCAGGACCCTGAATCGGGGGGAGGGCAGGGCCATTCTTGCTGGGGGGCGAGGAAACAGGTTGGGAGGGATTTGAGGAGTTCCTCTCCTCTTGGGCCACCTTCTCCACCTGCAGAAGTCCTACTAAGGACAAAGTATTAGTCACTCAGTTGTGTCCGACTCTTTACCATCCCATGGACTGTAGCCCTCTCGGCTCCTCTGTTCATGGAATTCTCCAGGTGGGAATACTGGAACGGGTAGCCATTCCCTTCTTCAGAGGATCTTCCTGATCCAGGGATCGAACCCAGGTCCCCTGAATTGTAGGCACATTCTGTACCACTGAGCCACCTGGAAAGCCCTCAGGTAAACTGTACCTCAAACAAATTGAAGGAAAAAAGAACCTGGTTCCAACTGCTTTCGAGAATTACACTACAACTTTGTGTGTGCTTGTTCAGTCAGATTACTGTTTTCTTTTTTGTACCTAGCTTTGTTAATTCACATTTCCTTTCTACTGTGGGATGGTGTTCTAGTTTCTTCTCTTTGTGTTTGCAACTTTGTTGGTTCAATCTTTTAGACAAGATTTTCCAGGTCCAACTTTTCTTCCCCTTTAGTTTTCCTTTTCACTTAGCACATGTTTGATTCTTTTCCATTCACCTAATCACATTCCCTACCTTTCTTTTCTTGCATCAGTCTTCTTTATTAGACATCTTCACTACCTAGTTTCAACCTGATGTGTTTATAAAGAGACGAGGGATCTTTATCCTCCCCCAGTGGAGGATCCCCATCAATCCCGAAGGACCACTGCTCTCCTTTCTGCATGTCCGCTCTGTGTTTGGCTTCTGGGCTTTTTCTTTTTTTCAATTTAAAGTGTATAATTTAATGTTTTGTTAGTATATTCAGAGTTGTGCACCATCACCATTTTCAATATTAAAACATTTTATCACTTCAAAAAGAAATGCCAGAATGCACTTCCCTGATAGTCCAGTGGCTCCCAATCTGCCTGCCAATGCAGGGTACCTGGGTTTGACCCCTGCTGGGCAACTAAGCCTGTGTACCACAACTACTGAAGCCCACACCCTAGAGCCCGTGCTCTGCAACAAGAGAAGCCACCGCAATGAGAAGCCCATGCACCGCAATGAAGAAGCCCTGTTTGCAGCAACTAGAGGAAGCCTGTGTGCAGCAATGAAGACCCAGGCAAAAAAGTTAAAAAAAAAGAAAAAGAAACACCCTTAACATGAACAGTCACTCCCTGTTTTCCCACTATTTCCTCATCCCTATTCTTGTCTGGAGAATTCCATGGACAGAGGAGTCTGGTGGGCGACAGTCCATGGGGTCGCAAAGAGTCAGACAAGACTGAAGTGACTTAGCAGCAGCAGGCAACCACTAATTTGCTTTTTTGTCCCCATGGATTTTCCTTTTCTGGACATTTCATATAAATGCAATCATATAATTTGGGATCTTTTTGACTTGGTGTAATGTTTTGAATGTCATTCATGTTACAGCTTGTATCACGACTTCATTCCTCTTATTGTCAAATAATATTTCCTTGTACGGACATACCAGATTTTGTTTATCTGTTCACCAGTTGATGGACATTTGGATTGTTTCTACTTTTTGATTACTGTGAATAATGCTGTCAACATTCAGGAACCAGTTTTTGTGTGGACACATTCTACATTTTTCTTGGTTAGACTGGGCTGTCTTAACATAAAGGACGAAGTCTTGCTTTTTTACACACTTGGGAAACACTAACTTCGCGTCTCAGAGCCAGTAGAAATCTCAGGGAACAACTCTCAAGTCTATAGTCACACTGTGGGTCCTCAGACACTTGAGCTATTTGAGTGAGTCTCACTCCAACAAGATGAAGGAGAACAACCTACTGTCTTCAGACCCATAGGGTATCTTGGGTGGAAACTCCCAGAACAAACATGCAAGCAAGTTCAAATTGATGGTTTTCACTCACTTCTAGAAACCATTCTTTGTGCCATTCTGGGTATATCATGTGACATTTATTTTTGTTTTTAGCTAAGTTAATAAAGTTACCTCAGGACCAGTGATGACTTATTAAAGAATACATATACTATTATTTGATTGCTTGTGTGACATCCCTGGAGAAAGACGTCGGGTGGCACATTACGAGTTACTTTTGCTTCTTCTTTTTACCTGAGTATCCCAGTCCCCGTGCACTCGCCAGTGGATATAGTTTACATTTGGAGAGTTCACAGCATTATTAAGGTTAATGTTTGGCATGTTCTCAACTTCAGGCAGCTTCTTCCAAGTTCTAAGGAGAAAACAAAAATCTCAAAAGAATAGGAATGAATGTTCCCCCTCATTCTGCTATTATGATTTCAAGCAAATGGACTGCCCTAGACCCTCAGTTTCTTCATATGCAGAATGGGAATCATGAGCACACTCCACGCAAAGTTTACACTGTTGAACAAAGTGTGTATAAATAAATTTTAGATCCTTAAAAATATAAAAAGAATGAATGTCCCTCCCGTATCCTGCTGACTCCATCCAGGAGCTTTTTCATAGGCTAGCCTTCTGATCAGGAATGACCCTCCTCTCCTTGGCTCATAAATTCTTCTCATTCACTGTGACCTCAATAACTCCTCCATGGGAAACTCTCTCTATGCCAGACCATTTGATTGCTCCATTTTCTGGATCCCAGGAGAGTTGAGCATGGAAGTGATGCTTGATGTGTGCTGCTCTTATTTTCTCATCCGTGTATGTACAATCCAGGATGCTTCCTTAGGAGCCCCACGAGGCTCAGCAGAGAGCAGGGACTTCATTGGGTACCTCTGTGTGTTCTAGTCAGGATTTGAACAGCTTTTAAGAAGAAGATACTGAGGTCAAGGTCCATCTCAAAAAGAAGTGGGCCTTGCTCATCTTCCCATCATATATGGGAAGAACTTAGTGGTGGTATCAGTGGTCTCACACGTTACAAGAGCTCTGTGATCATTGGTTAATTCACACGAATGCTCTGAGGGACACACCATCCTTCCTGCAGCCAAAGCAGCTGGTATAACAGGAATGATTAACTGTGGGGGACCCATGGTTGTCTACCTAACAGACACTCTCTCCCCTTTTCTCTGCCAACAAAACCACGGTAGAGGGCTTCCTTGGTGGCTCAGTGGTAAAGAATCCACTTGCCAGTGCAGGAGACATAGTTCAATCCCTGGTCTGGGAAGATCCATATGCCGTGGAGTAACTAAGCCCATGAGCCACAACTACTGAGCCCATGTGCAGCAACTAATGAAGCCCAAGTACCCTAGACACCATGCTAGGGTACCACAACAAGAGAAACCACCACAATGAGAAGCCCATGCACTGCAACTAAAGAGTAGCTGAAAAAAGAGAAAGCCTGCACAGCAATGAAGACCCAGCACAGCCAAAGAAAAAAAAAAGAAAAGCCAAGACAGAGAGCCCTTGATTTCAGGGATATCCTGTGACTCAGTTCTGGCCAATGAGATCGGCTGAAATCAACTGAGGCACTCTGGGAAGATATTTTGCTCCTTCATAAAATGTGAAAATAATGTGAGATAGTTTATTTTTCTTTCTCACTTTTCCCTCTCCCCTGGATGGTATTGTTCTTTCTGATTTTAAACACAGTTGAGATGTGAGATATTTGGAGCTACAGCAGCCATTCTGAGACCATGAGGCCATGGGCTGAAGGACAAAAAGCCAGCGTACTAAAGACGGTGAAGTGATATGATGGAGATTGGAGGTACGTGATGACACCATTGATAAGCTAAACCAGTGCAGCAATCATCTGTATCCTGATATTTCTTTAATGAAAAAAAGATAACTCCTTTGTCCTGTTAGTTGTTTTTTATGTTTCTATAATAGCAAGCATTTATCAACTTCTTATTATGTGTCAAGCGCTGTATATATATATATCAACTCATTTACTCCTTTACTTTATGAGATAGGCACTATTACTATTCCCTTTTTAAGGCTCTATTATTATTCCTTCAGAGGGAGGAAACTGAGGCACAGAAAGATATTAAATAATTTGCCAAAATTAGCAAGTGGCAGCAACAGGATTCAAGCCCAGGCAGCCTGGATTGCAGCTTGAAGCATATTTAGTGGATAACTCTACACAACAGTCAATAATTGATGTTCTTGCAGTTTAACAAGCCCCAGAATTGTGGAACTATTTAGAGCTCAGAGGTGTTATTCAGATGACCTTGAAAATACTAAAGTAGATGGAACCTGGAATGGTGACCTATGTACCACTGAAAACTGTAGGCAAGATGTTTTAATACATATTGCTAGCAATTACAGAAGTGCATTGACTTTCCCAAAGCAGTCCGAATACTGTTTTTTTTTTTTCCTCTAGTGTTTTATTATTATTATAGGTTATGTCACAGTAAAGTTCTCTCAGCACTTTTTAATTGCTAGTATGACAGTATAGTTTTTCATTTAAATTGCTCATTACTTTTGAATATTTTCCAAGTATTAAACTTGAAAATTTCAGTACACTCAAAAGTTATATCTTGGACTTCCCTGGTGGTCCAGTGGTAAAGAAATCCACCTACCAGTGCAGGGGACACCGGTTCAACCCCTGGTCTGGGAAGACTGCACATGACAAGGGGTGACTAAGACCTGTGCCATGACTACTGAGCTGGTGCTCTAGAGTCTGTGAGTCGCAACTACTGAAGCCTGCACACTCTAGAACCTGTGCTCCGCAGCAAGAGAATCCACTGCAATGGGAAGCCTGTGTACTGCAACAAAGAGTAGCCCCCACTCTCCACAACTAGAGAAAACCTGCGGGCAGCAACGAAGACCCAGTGCAGCCAAAAATAAATACATAAAATTTTAAAAAGCTATTTTTGGGAATCTCTTGCAAAATATCGGTCCTATCAAAACAACAGGAGACCCTCTAAATTGGTGATCACTGAGCAGTCCCTCCCAGTTTGGTTATAATCCTTGCTGGACTGCCTCAGGAGTGCTCAGGGGCAGTCTATGTGAACATTCACTTCCTCTCCAAATGAACTTCTGTCGGGGTTCATTCTGAACTTCTTCATGTCTTAGACGCACCTTTTCATCTGTCTTTGCCTGATGAAGCTCTTTATTTCTGAGTTTTCTCAAACTTTCCATCCAAGCCCCCTCATCCCCTATACTCTTAAGCCAAGAGTCAGAGAATTATAGATTCAGTAGATTTCAATTCCCACACTTCAGAGCTCCCAAGACCCATTATACCCATCTGTGTTTGCTTTCAGATTACAGGCACTTCAGAAACCAATCTTGAGTACTCGATAATCTCCATTTTGCCCATGGTACTGTCTTTCTAAGATTTATGTTACAGTTTAGATTCACTTGGCTTCTATAACAAACTCTGATCTCACTGGTTAATGGAACATCTCTCTTTAAAAAGCAGCTTTCAAAAAGCAGTTAACAAAGTCTGCTATTGTTACTTTAAGAAATGCCTGCTCTCCAACAGTTAAGTGAATAATAAGTATGTCTCCTCAGCCTGAATGTTTCTTTGTGGTACCTTGAAAATCCTGCAACTCGCTTTTACTGTCAATTAATCTTCTCTCATTTAAATTTCCCTCAAATAAGAACTTTTCTGACCCACTTCCATTAACCACTCCATAATACCATTCATCATCAATGTTACCTTTCTCTGGATACATTTATTTCTGTGGAGGGATTTTCATGACTGAAAATAGGTCAGAAGAGAAAAACTGGCCAAATTTACAGACTTAGATTAAGGAGATGGTGATGGTACTCAGTAACCAAAGGTAACTGACTTAAAACATGCATTCATACCTCAAGAGATAAAACTTTAGGAAAAATCTTTAAGTTCTTAGGAATTACTGCTTGGAAACATGAATTCAGTCTCCTGTGTGTGAATTAACTGATGAGGACAAAGTCTTTAAAACAAAGACTTGATTGTGATTTATTTTTCATTCTGTTAATAGTTTTAGAATTATCCACTAATATTTTCTTAATTTAGATAAGAATCACGTATTTTTAAAAAATCTCCACCAAGCATAAAGCAGATAGATATCCTGGGATACTTATGACACAAGCTGTTCCTTTTTGAAGGCATCTACAGGGGGAGATTTAAATAGTCTTTGCTCTATCCGTTTTTCATCTACTCTGAAATTGGTTTGGTTAGATCGGAATAAAAGTTCTGTGTGGTGCTGCCTTTATGATTTTGAGTACATTTGTGTCATCAGTCAATTGTTCACCTTGAACTTCATCTTTCAGCTTGTCAAAAAATAATCTAACACTTATCCAACCACCAGCATGAATTGCCAAAGAAGCCTGGAGGAGGCTGTCATTGCAACTGGAACCTCAAGACTCTTGCCCCCAATCCAGGTCACGTGAGAAGTGGTGAAGTGCGGCACCTTTCTGCACTTCACAAGGGCACAGCATCCTGGCTCCATGGCTGTGGAAGTCTTATGACATGTGGGACTCTAACTCCTAGCAGTACTTGTGTGTGTGTGTGTGGTGGGGGGAGGGGAGCTGTCTATCCATTATAGGGCAAAGCTCCAACAAATTCATTCCCTTTCATCCAAACGCAACTGAGGGATACTATGAACTGTCCTGCTGTGACTCTTTAGAAGGCATAATTCCTGGAATCATGACCAGTATTTTTTCTTTTCCATTTCTCTCCCCAAAGTGTCTTTGTGTTGCATCTTTGAGCAAACAAATAAACACCTCTACTCAAAGCAAAGTGCCAGGTAAATGTGAGGTGAATGCCACCCTGGGGAAGGTTTAGTGACTCAGGACTCTGTTCTCACTGTACCGGGTTCCATGATATTTTCTAAGACTTGGATAAATTCAGAGAAATACTGTTAAGTTTATTGATAACACAAAACAGAGAGAGAGAGAACACCAATCTACAGGGTGGTATTATCAGCATTTAAAATTATTTTAACCAAATAGAATTAGGATGCAAAAGAAAATCAATGAAATGAAATTTAGCAAGAATGAAAGCCCTGGGTTTAGGTTTAAACCTCAATTTATAAAGAAAGGAGGAGAATCTTCTCTGGTGGTCCAGTGGCTAATACGCCATGTTTCCAGTGGAGGGAGCCCAGGTTCAATCCCTGGTCAGGGAACTAGACCCCCACATGCTGCAACTAAGAGTGTGTAGGCCGCAACTAAGGCCAGGTACAGCTAAGTAAATAATAAATGTTAAAAAAAAAAGAGAGAAAGGATGAGGAATACATGGCTTGAAAGTGGGAGATAATATGCCAGTGAGTAAAGTGTTGGTGGGCTGTGTGATGCCCTTCTCCAGAAGAGAGGCCAGGATGACATGATAT